GTGAGGCTTCTCTCGTGTCCCTGCATGAGAAGCTGGAGCTGACAGATGGGAGCTTACCCCACTCCCCGGATTTAAACTGCTGACCTTTCAGTCAGCAGTCCTGGCAGCACAAGGGTTTAATCCATTGCACCACCGGGGGCTTCAGTGTTAGACTGATATACCTGGTTATCTCTCTGAACTGTTAGGAACAAAGATATGCCAATGCACAAAATATAGAGCAGATATTCAGAAATGTTATTTCAGTTGTCCAAAAACATCTACTCAACCATAAAATATATTGCTTTCAAATCATGCTCTCAAGAGACCAAAAAGAGTCTTCGTTAAAAGTAACATAGCTGATTTACTTACAAATTTCATGTATTCAGCATACAGGTACATTTCTTATTGGTTGAGAGTTTAAACAGTAAGTTCTCTAAAGCATTCTATTTCTCTCTTCTTTGTTGCATACAGACTAACACTCTCTTCAGTCTAATGCATTACTGAACATTGACTCAATGCAGACTGACTACAAACTGCAGCATACTGACATTATTAACTGCCTACTGTACTGACTGACTTCTAAACTGTACTGTACTGCTTCTGATGCAAACAAAATGACTTCATACTGACTTCTAAAATTAAGTCTCAGTCTGAAAAGTCCCAGATCTGGTCACATGGTCTGCAGTCCCTCCCACAACCTCAAACAACACAGAATTAAGGAAAAACTGCACACTAATATATACATACAACATAGTAAGCAATCTGAATTATATACATAACAAATCACTGTTCTACAAATTTTCAGTTTTTCTCAGTTTCGGAAACGAAATGTGCCGTTTCTTAATAAATTTAACATGCTGAATTCAAATATAATAATTAAATGTGTTAATTGGCTCTGGTTTTTATGCAACAGCTATTTCAATTTTCTCCACAATAGGTAATTTGTTAATATTATGATAATGCGCCTAACCTATATTGCCAATAGTTTATACATGAGAAATATTTATTTAATTAGTCTATTGTTTATGTTTGTGCAGCAAGAAACTATATTAGTAGGCCTAATGCAGTTGAAAAGTCTGAAAGTTTAAATGTCGCTTTAATTGAGACTTTAGTTTATATCCTGTTTGCTTCTCTTGACTTTTCTTTTGTATTAAAGGAAAGGATTGTCTCTTACGATGCTCCAGCAGTAGTCTGACAGCATTGACGGAGTCCATTTACCTTGATATCTTTTTTTTCCATAGTGCTTTATTTACACACGTGCGAGGCATAACTACAGTAAAAAGAACAATGTAAAACGATGTTTAACGATACTGCCTCAGTCTTCAACTGACTGACCCTCACCGTTCAAAAGTCTGGCCTTATATAGGGCTTTCTGGCTTTTGCACACGGCACTAATACTGCGTCATCAAACTTTCTAGAATATTCTAGAATCTTCCATAGTGTAAGTCGCACATGCATTTTTTCAACCATACGTGATCACGTGATTGCTTATATCATAAAAACTAGAGTCAATATACATTTTTAAATGTCATTTTCGTTTTCAGCACCCCAAAATCATAAAAGAACAGCTATTTTCAGGCTCGCAACTTTCTAGAATCTTCCATAGTGTAAGTCGCAACATGCATTTTTTCAACTATACCTGATCACGTGATTGCTTATATCATAAAAACTAGAGCCAATATACATTTTTAAATGTCATTTTCGTTTTCAGCACCCCAAAATCATAAAAGAACAACTATTTTCAGGCCCGCAACTTTTTCTCCGTTGAACAGTGTAACTAGTATAGGAGACCTGTAGAAGGTTGCTATTTCCAACACAGACAGCAAATGAAACCCCACAGGGGTGTTAACTCTTCCCTATGTGATCCAAATCTCTCCTCGTCCCCCCCCCCTCTATATATGGCTAAAGTTACACTTAAAACATGTCCCTGTTCCAGCTTACAAACACATTCAACTTATGAACAAACCCACAGAACTATCTTGTTTGTAACGTTGGGACTGCCTGTACAGGCCTTCCAAAAGCAACGCCAAAATGCCTGCATTAAAAGTTATTATAAAAAGGGTGTGTGTATGAAAATAAACCATTAAAAACCAGGGCTGTACTGGCCAGTGGTAGAAATAGCCTCGTTTGTCACTTCCAAAAAGGTAGTCGGCTTGGAGGTCATAGCAAATGGCAATAATAATAATGATGGCGAAGCTGGTAGAAATGGGAAAGTGTGTGCGTTTGTGGTTGGCATGGTCTGGTGCAGGCATGGGCCAACTTGGCCCTCAAAGTGTTTTGGACTTCAACTCCCACAATTCCTAACAGCCTACCAGCTGTTAGGAATTGTGGAACTTGAAGTCCAAAATACCTGGAGGGCCCAAATTGGCCCATGCCTGGTCTGGTGGGCTTTGAGATGGAATTCATGTTGCAGTCCATCTCTTGCATCAACATTAGACTGAGTCTGGATCCACTTTCACTCCATATGCAGCCTCCTCCTGTGGAATTCTGCGGTTTTGTGAGGCCCTGGGCCTGCCTGGCTGAACATTTGAAAGGCCCCCTCCCTAAACTACAAGCCCTAGAATTCTGCAGGAGGAGGCGGCCACAGAACTGAAAATGTGATGAGGTCCACTTGTCTATTTGTCCGCCTTGCCAGGTTGTTGAATAGTAAGAAGAATAATAAAGAAGTAGGATGTAGCATATCTTGATTTCAGTAAGGCCTTTGACAAAGTCCCCCATGACATCCTTCCAAGGAAACTAGTCAAATGTGGGCTAGGCAAAACTACCGTTAGGTGGACCCAGGCATGTAGCCGGGGGAGGGGGGGGGGTTCGAGGGGCTTCAGCCCCCCCCCCCCCGAAATTCTCATGGTGGTCCACGAGAAGGCCTTACTGGTGCATTATTTAAACTGTTATGTTTATTCATATCATGATCTGATTACCATACTCAATGTATCCCACATGCATGGGGGTAACGATACAAAAGGTTTGCTAGGGTAGACTCTCTTTCACTCAGACTCAGCCCCCCCGAATCAAACTCAGCCGCCCCCCCCCTCCCCGAATCAAAATCCTGGCTACGGGCCTGGGTGGACCTGTAATTGGTTAAGCGACTGAACCCAAAGGTGCTCACCAATGGTTCCCCTTCATCCTAGAAAGAAGTGACGAGTGGTGTCCCATAAAGAGGGTTCGATCCTGGGCCCACTACTGTTCAACATCTTTATTAATGACTTGGATGAAGGTTTAGAGGGCGTGCTTATCAAGTTTGCAGATGGGACCAAATTAAGAGGGAGAGTTAATACTCCAGAAGACAGGAGAATTCAAAACGACCGTAACAGATTAGAGATGGTTGGCCAGAAACTAACAACATGCATTTCAACAAGGACAAATATAAGATATGTAAGAAAAAAGGAATGCAAAGAGACAGGATGGGTGGTGCCTGGCTCAACAATAGAGTGACATGTAGGAAAGATCTTGGAGTCTTTGTGGACAACAATCTGAACGTGAGCCAACAGTGTGATGCAGCAGCTAAAAAAGCCAATGGGATTTTGGTATTCATCGAAGGGAGTCTAGTGTCCCGACCGAGGGGAGTCACGGTGCCTCTCTTTCTGCTTTGGTCAGACCTCTTTACCTGGAATACTGTGTCCAATTCTTGCACCACAGTTTAAAACAGTGGTTCTTAACCTGTGGGTCCCCAGGTGTTTTGGCCTACAACTCCCAGAAATCCCAGCCAGTTTACCAGCTGTTAAGATTTCTGGGAGTTGAAAACCAAAACATCTGGAGACCCACAGGCTGAGAACCACTGTTTTAAAAGATATTACTTACTTAGGCGATCCCTCGCTTTCCGAGGATGATTGTCTTCCAATATTCTTGTGGGTCCGTATGTGGCTGTGGAGCCCTATTCTTGCTCTGCATCTTCTTCCGCAGTGAGGGCATTGGTTTCCAGGTGGAAGGCGGTCTCGGCCGGGGTTGGCTTGACGCGCCTTCCTCTTGGCACGTTTCTCTTTTTCATCCTCCACTCGTGCCTCCTCAAATTCTGCAGCACTGCTGGTCACAGCTGACCTCCAGCTGGAGCGGTCAAGGGCCAGGGCTTCCCAGTTCTCAGTGTCTATGCCAGAGTTTTTAAGGTTGGCTTTGAGCCCATCTTTAAATCTCTTTTCCTGTCCTCCAACATTCCATTTTCCGTTCTTGAGTTCGGAGTAGAGCAGCTGCTTTGGGAGACGGTGGTCGGGCATCCGGACAACATGGCCGGTCCAGCGGAGTTGGTGGCGGAGGACCATCGCTTCAATGCTGGTGGTCTTTGCTTCTTCCAGCACGCTGACGTTTGTCCGCTTGTCTTCCCAAGAGATTTGCAGGATTTTCTGGAGGCAGCGCTGATGGAATCGACTCTAAACAGGAAGGTGTCCAGAGGATGAGGGCAACTAAAATGACCAAAGGTCAGAGCATGAAAAATCCCTATGAGGAGTGTCTTAAAGAGCTGAGTCTGTTTAGCCTGCAGAAGAGAAGGTTGAGAGGAGACATGAGAGTCATGGATAAATATGTGAAATAATGCCTTTAGGCCATCTGTCAGGGGTGTTCTGATTGTTTTTTTCCTGCATGGCAGAAGGGGTTGGACTAGATGGCAAATGGGGTCTCTTCCAACTCTGTTATTCTATCTATCTATCCTATCAGAGGCCTTTAAAGAGTGGCTGGATAGTCATCTGTCAGGGGTGCTCTGATGGTGCTTTTCCTGCATGGCACGGGGTTGGACTAGATGGCCCATGGGGGTCTCTTCGACCGCTGTTCTTCGATGATTCCCGAGTAGTGTTTGTGGCGGGGAGAAAGAGGCCTGCAAAGGGGCTGAGTCGCTCAGGGAGGACCGCGAGGCGGCGCCATTGTGCGAGCCAGGCTCCGTTCCCATGGCAACGGGCGCACCTGAGGGGGACGCAGGCGTGCGCACCGCGCCAGGGCATCGCCCGCCTTCGACACGGGAGGAGGCGGCGCCTGCTTGGGACCCGGCAGCGGAAGCCGAGCCTTTCTTCTTTGGCTCCTCCTCCGGCTGGGTGAGTTCCTCCCTCCTTCTCCCGCCGGGTCGGGGACCCAAAGGGGCCGCTTTTTCTCCCGGGTTTAGGCCGCGAAAGGGGGTCCCTCCCCTCCCCTCCTGAGGCCGAGCGCCTCGAGCTAAAGGGAGGGAGAGGAGGGCCAGGAAGCAGGTAATGATTTTCTTATTCAGCTTCAGGGGTTTGATGGGGGAAATGAAACTCAGCAAGAGCTGGAGAGGGATATGCGTTGCGCCTCGCCCAAAACAAGGCAGACTTCCATGAGAGAGGGCCCTTCCAGGCAGGCCTTCTATCCCAGACTCTTATCCCAGGTTTCCGGCTTTAAACTGAATTATATGAGTCCGCACTGCCAGATAATAAACTTCCACACAGCCATATAACCCAGAATGTCAAGGCAGAAAATCCCACAGTATCTGTTTTGAACTGTGTTGTCTGAGTCCACACTGCCATATATTCCAGTTCAAAGCAGAAAATATGGGATTTTTTTCAGCTGCGTGGAAGGGGCCTCAGATAAATAGAAAAGATGGGATCAGATCCTGGGATAAAGGGCCTGTCTGAAAGGGCTCAGAGAGAGGCCCCTTCAACACTGCCATATAAACCAGATTATCAGATCAGATAATAATCCACACAATCTGCTTTGAACTGGATTGTATGAGGCCCCTTGTACACTGCCATAGAATCCAGATTATCAAAGCAGACAATAATCCACATTATCTGCTTTGAACTGGTTGATATGAGTCTGCACTGCCATATAATCCAGTTCAAATCTGGATTTTATATGGCAGTATAGAAGAGGCCTCATACAATCCCATTCGGAGCAGACAATCTGGATTTTATATGGCAGTTATATGGCAGTGTAGAAGGGACCTCATAAGGCCCTTCCACACAGTAATATAACCCAGAATATCAAGGCAGATAATCCACAATACCTGCTTTGAACTGGGTTATCTGAGTCCACACTGCCATATAATCCAATTCAGTGTGGATTTTATACATCTGTGTGGAAGGGGCCATACAATACAGTTCAAAGCAGATCATCTCGATTGTATATGGCAGTGTAGAAGGGGCCTCAGACAATCCAGTTCAAAGCAGATAATGTGGACTTTATATGGCAATGTAGAAGGGGCCTCATACAGTCCAGTTCAAAGCAGATCATCTGGATTATCTTCTTTGGTAATCTGGATTATATAGCAGTGTAGATATTAGATCCAACCTTAGATGTGTCAGAAATATGTTTAAAATTGTAGCCTGAATCTGTTACATGTACTTGGAAGATACCTTTGGCACTGGGTTTATTTCTAGATGTTATCAGTCATGAAAACGACAAGATGAAGATGAAAACACTTGATAACATTTCACCGATTTTTATGCATTTGTGAAATAAATAAACAGAATGGAAGTAAGGAATCATTCTGTTGTCTTATTTGAATAAGTAATTACCAGGTTTTATTTTCTTTCCACAGAAAAAGGAATTTTGTTTATGTGTGAAGACCCTTTATTCTGCCAAAAATGAAGACGGTTCTCATGGTGGCCGAGAAGCCATCTTTGGCTCAGTCGATAGCCAAAATTCTTTCAAGAGGTTGGAATGAATCTACATTAGCTGTATTTTTTATTCTTTCTAGTGCCAACCCAACAATTTTTTCTGTTTCAGTTTGGGCTATAATCTAATACATTGGGCAACTGTACATGCAGTCCCCGAGTTACAAACATCTGACTTAAAATTACTCAGTTAAGAACAGGGGAGAGTCAACAGAAAGTGAGGGAAACCTACCCCTCGGGAGGGAAATTCACTCCCGAAAGAGTTATTATCATGGGGAAAAGGTGGCTCCACTTAAACTTTTCACCAATCCTCGTTTCCAAAAGAAGCCAAATTTCTCAAAATCCAATTATTGCAGGGACAGAAAGTGAAATGAAATCTTCTGAACTGGAACACAGACAGCAAAGGAAACATCACAGGGGTATCAACCCTTCCCCTATGCTATCCAAAGCTATATATGCATACACACACATTTGGCTGAAGTTAACTTTAAAATTGCACCTGTTCCGACTTACATACAAATTCAACTTAAGAACAAATCGACAGGACCTACCTTGTTTGTAACTTGGGAACTGCCTGTAATAGAAAACTGAATATCATGAATATTAAGTAATATCAATAGAAGCTTTTTATATATGTTGTGTAGCTTGTCATGTTAAGAGACCATTGAAAAGAGGAGTTGGGTGTAAGTGAGCTTTCCCCCTTTTTGCGTTTTGATTTTATATTTTAAAAGGTGTATGTCACAATATATATTTATATACATGAGGCCCCTAGAACCATTAGAAAGGCAAAAAATCCACTGTTGACAACTCCTTCTCGAATTGGCCCCATAAACATTAAATTGTCCCCCTGTGGGGCCAGTGCCCCACCTTGGGAAGCAGGGGATTAGAAGCTTTGGTGGGCATCATTTGTGTTTGCGTAATATACCTGGGGTGCTTTTGACAAGTTTTTGTGTTGAAAATTTCCCAAATTTCAAACTAAGACGGCTCGGAAACTGCAGTTAGTGCAAAGATCAGCAGCCGTATTACTAATTGGGGCTTGCTATAGGGAGCATACCACGTCTCTATTAAAGCAGCTCCGCTGGCTGCCGACAAGTTTCTGGGCCTAGTTCAAAGTGCAGGTTATCACCTATAAAGCCCTGTACACTTTGAGTCCAACCTATCTTCGCAACCACATCGCCTTCTATAAACCAGCACCGACTCTGAGATCTGCCGGGGAGGCCCTTCTCTTGGTCCCATCTCCGTCTCTAGCTTGGTTGATGGGGACAAGAGAGAGGGCCTTCTCGGTGTTGGGCCCCTGGCTCTAGAATGCCCTCCCTAGAGAGATAAAGTTAGCCCTTTCTCTCCAAGTTTTCCTGTCTAGGCTAAAAACATGGCTTTTTAAACAGGCCTTTGACCTGTAGATTTTAATGGTTAGACTGAGGACTTTTGCTTCACTTTGGCACTTTGCGTCCATCTATTGAAAACAGCCAGTTTTACCCGCAGGCACGACTTATGTTTTATGAATTTTAATATTTTAGATTTTATGTGTGTTTGTGGTTGTTATCTTATGTTACCGTTTTATGCTTATGTTTTGTTTGTTTTGTGTGTGGCAGAGTTCAGAGTGCTTTTGTGAGCTGCCCCAAGTCCCTTCAGAGAGGTGGTAGCAGGGTAAAAATAAATTATGATCATGATGATGATGATGATGATTATATCTACAATTTACCAGGATAAGACGTGGTATGGCTCTGAATGGTGGAGATAAGTAAATGGCTGTGAAAGGCTGTTGCCTTATTGTACTACATGCCTGAAGGCAGGATTTGCACAAATCCTGTAGGACTCAAGTGCACATAAGTCTGGAACTGCTGGATAGGTCAATAAGATTATATTGCCACTTTTGAAGCTCTGTTGATATGCTGTAGCCAGTGGGAGAGATGGTAGTGATGGTTCTTTGCCACGTCTTTATTTACTCACTTCTCCTAGTTTGGTCAAAGTGAGCATTGGTTATATCGGCTCTGGGATTGCATAGTTGAGGACCTCTTTCTTTTCTTTCATTTATATCTCATCTTTTTCCCAGCAAGGCAGCTTGCAGCCAGGATGAAAAACATGGATGAAAGATGGTTCAGATTTAACAGATTACCGGGGAATCCCTTACTTTGCCACAAAATGTCTCCTTTTGACCACAACCTGTAGACAGCTTCAACCCACAAAGCTCACCACAAACATGGTTTTATGTAGATGATGCTCAAGATGAAAAAAAGGATGCCATCTGCACAAAATCCCCCCCCCCCCCAAAAAAAATCACAAATCCTCAGCCATACACCAAGTCTTTCCTGGATGGATGTAAAAAAGGAGGAAGAGGAGGAGGAGGGCGTCTATGAAAATAAAAATAACTCCTTCCAAACCTCAGTCAACTCTTCCACCTAAAAAAAGGAGGCAGAACAGTAAACAGGCAGTTTAGTTCTACATTTAAGTCTGAAGTGTGATGGAAATGAATGCAGAGAGTTGGCTTTCTCCTCGCATACTTGCCAACTAAAATGGCAAATGAACTACCAGAAAGTAATATAATTGAATCTGTTTGTGTGTCTTAAATCTGTCTGTCACCCACACACAGACATTATAGACAGCTGCAAGTAAATTTGTCTTTCTTAAATGAGGTTTTTATGATAAAGGTTTTCAGATCAAGCCAGGGGGTGCTGTGGTTTTAGCGATGAATAGGGTTTTAATTGGTTTTAAATAATAATGCTTTATTTATAACCGGCCCTGTCTCCCTGAGAGGACTCACAGCAGCTTACAGCAAGGTAAAACACATTGGCAACCATGCAATGCCGAAGGTACAAGCAACAAACAAAAAACATCTTAAATAAACAAGACAAGACATAATACTTTCACATTAATAACGTATTAGATCCTTAAAACTATTTAAATTAGATTAAAATTATTGGGGCTAAGATGGTATACAGCAGGTTAACGAAGGAAGATGTTCAGCAAAACAAAGCAGGGTGTATATAAGATGTAATTAGTCCTCCTGCTCTCATAGAATCAAAGAGTTGGAAGAGACCTCATGGGCCATCCAGTCCAACCCCCTGCCAAAAAGCAGGAATGTTGCATTCAAATCACCCCTGACAGATGGCCATCCAGCCTCTGTTTAAAAGCTTCCAACGAAGGAGCCTCCACCACACTCCGGGGCAGAGAGTTCCACTGCTGAACGGCTCTCACAGTCAGGAAGTTCTTCGTCGTGTTCAGATGGAATCTCCTCTCTTGTAGATGGAAGCCATTGTTCTGCGTCCTAGTCTCCAAGGAAGCAGAAAACAAGCTTGCTCCCTCCTCCCTGTGGCTTCCTCTCACATATTTATACATGGCTATCATATCTCCTCTCAGCCTTCTCTTCTTCAGGCTAAACATGCCCAGCTCCTTAAGCCGCTCCTCATAGGGCTTGTTCTCCTGACCCTTGATCATTTTAGTTGCCCTCCTCTGGACACATTCCAGCTTGTCAATATCTCTCTTGAATTGTGGTGCCCAGAATTGGACACAATATTCCAGGTGTGGTCTAACCAAAGCGGAATAGAGGGGTAGCATTACTTTCCTAGATCTAGACACTATGCTCCTATTGATGCAGGCCAAAATCCCATTGGCTTTTTTTGCCGCCACATCACATTGTTGGCTCATGTTTAACTTGTTGTCCACGAGGACTCCAAGATCTTTTTCACACGTACTGCTCTCGAGCCAGGCATCCCCATTTTGTATCTTTGCATTTCGTTTTTTTCTGCCAAAGTGGAGTATCTTGCATTTGTCACTGTTGAACTTCATTTTGTTAGTTTTGGCCCATCTCTCTAATCTGTCAAGATCGTTTTGAATCCTGCTCCTGTCCTCTGGAGTATTGGCTATCCCTCCCAATTTGGTGTCGTCTGCAAACTTGATGATCATGCCTTCTAGCCCTTCATCTAAGTAATTAATAAAGATGTTGAACAGGACCGGGCCCAGAACAGAACCCTGCGGCACTCCACTCCACTCTCCATAAGCTAAAGTGCATAGATATGTTTTTAAGAGTTTTTGAAAGGAGAGGCCAGAGGGGGCCATTTTTAATTCTTTAGGGTGGGAGTTCCAGAGCCAGGGAGTGATCACGGAGAAGGCCCTCTCTTTTGTTCCCACCAAGCCATACTTGGGACAGGGGTGGAACCGAGAGGAGGGCCTTCTCCTCAGACCGCAGTGCTCATGCTGGTTTGTACATGGAGATGTGTTTTTTCAAATAGTCTGGGTCTGAACCATTTAGGGCTATATAGGTAATGACCAGCACTTTGTATTTTGCCCGGAAGCAGACAGGCAGCCAGTGGAGCCACTGTAACATAGGAGCTGATCGCTTCCTGTACGGTGCTCCAGTTAGAAACCTGACTGTCGATCTCTGTACCAGTTGAAGCTTCCGAAGTATCCTCAAAGGCAGCCCCACGTAGAGAGCATTGCAATAGTCCAGATGGGATGTGACTAAGGCATGAACTACTATGGCCAGATCTGGCGTATCAAGATATGGGCACAGCTGTCACACAAGTCTTAACTGTGCGAAGGTTATTACTGGTACTCCTTTCCACCAAATGCCAAGGATGCCATCCTGCCCTTGAACCAGTGCCTGCCATCAGTGATGGACTGGATGAGGGCTAATAATTTGAAATTAAATCTAAACAAAACAGAGGTACTCCTGGTCAGTCAGAAGACGGATCAGGGTGTGAGATTACAGCCTGTGTTGGAGGGGGTCACACTCCCCCTGAAGACACAGTTTTGCAGTGTGAGGTGATCCTGGCCAGTTGGGTGTCATCCGCATAAATTTGACACCCAACTCACAAACTCCAGATGATCTCTCCCATTGGTTTCATGTAAATGTTAAACAGCATGAGGGACAGAATTGAACCCTGAGAGACCCCACAGGCCACCGACCAGGGAGTCAAACAGGAGTCTCCCAGCTCCACCATCTGGGTCTGACCCTCCAGGAAGGACCGGACCCAGTGCAAAACAGTGCCCCCAAGCCCCATCCCGGAGAGACGACCTCGAAGGATACCATGGTCAATGGTATCAAAAGCTGCTGAGAGGTCCAGGAGAACTGGCAGGGGCACACAACCTCTGTCTAATTCTCTTTGTAGATCATCCACTAAGGCGACCAGTGCCGTCTCTGTCCCATAGCCAGGCCTGAAACCAGACTAAGATAGATCCAAATCATCAGTTTCATCCAAAAAACTTTGTGGAGTTGTGAGGCCATCTTTATTTTTAATACAGTTAATATTTAATTCTATTTTAATGTTCATATATTTTTAGGTTTTAAATTATATTGTATTGGTTTGACTGTAAGCCACTTTGAGAAAAAGCAGGGTATAAATAATAATCATCATCATCATCAGTTGCTTTTCTAGAACAAGAGTGAATCTTCACTTTTAAGAAACTTTGTGTGGTGTTTCATTATTTCTGGTATATCTTTTCATTGTAGGAAACATGTCATCTCGCAAAGGACTAAACGGAGCATGCTCAGTTCATGAATACACTGGATCATTCATAGGACAAAGTGCCCACTTCAAGATGACATCTGTGTGTGGCCATGTGATGACATTGGATTTTATAGGTACATGTATTTCTTTGTTGCTGTTTCTGTTTAAAGCCACAAAGGGGAGAACTGATACTTGTAACTGCCCTGGCATATTGCAAACTAGACTAGCACCCCTTTGGAGTTTAGTATGCAGATCCAATTCTGCACTTTGGCTTGTTGAAACCCATATATGGATGAAAGGGATGAACCAATTATTTGAGAATGACATGTAATCATTTGCCTCCAAACCAGAATTGGAAATTACAATTTGAACTGGGATTCCGATTCTGGTTTGTGGCAAACCGCAGTTTGACCAGTTCAGTTGTCACAGTAAACTTTTGTTATTAATTGGGAAGAATAGGAGGGAAATAGAATGTGTATATTTGCTATATATATATTAATAGTGTTCTGTCTTATCATGTTGTACCCTGCCTTGTGCCACAAGGAGAGGCAGGTAATAAACTATCATGAATATTATTGTTATTAGTCCATAGTTCTGCTTTCATATTTTAACTGTTTGTAATGTAACACCATTAATATTTAATCCTATTTTAATGTTTGTATATTTTTAGGTTTTCAATTGTATTGCATTTGGTTTTCCTGTAAGCCACTTTGAGTCTTTTTTTTTTTGTAGAGAGAGAAAGTAGGGTCTAAATAATAATAATTATAATCATAACAATGAACCAGTTCTGATAGAGCCTTAGGCAGAAGGGCCACTGTTTCTTCAAATGTTTCAATAAAAGTAAGGGATTCTTGGATGAAACCAATGATCTTGACCCATTGCAGTCTGGTTTTAGGCCTGGTCACAGAATGGAGATGGCTTTGGTTGCCTTGGTGGATGATCTCCACAGAGAACTAGACAGGGGGAGTGTGTCCTTGTTGGTTCTCTTGAATATCTCAGTGGTTTTCAATACCATAGACAATGGTATTCTTCTGGGTCGGCTCTCTGGAATGGGTCTTGAGGGCATTGCACTGAAGTGGCTCCACTCCTTCCTGGGGGATCGCATCCAGTTGGTGAAGCTGGGGGACACCTGCTCAGATCCCTGGCCACTAACCTGTGGGGTCCCACAAGATCCCATTCTATCCCCCATGCTTTTCAATATCTACATGAAACTGCTGGGTGAGATCATCCAGAGTTTTGGAGTTCGGTGCCATCTGTATGCTACTCCTTTCCACTAAAATCCAAGGAAGCCCCCTGAATCCTGGACCAGTGCCTGGCAGCTGTGATGGACTGGATGAGGGCTAACAAGCTGAAGCTTGTTCCAGACAAACGGGGTCCTCCTGGTCAATTGTGAGGCTGAACGGGGTATAGGGTGGTTATCTGTTCTTGACGGGGCTACACTTCCCCTGAGGACACAGGTCCTGTACTCATCACTGACACTTGATGCCCAGGTGTCGGCAAAGGCCGGGAGGGCCTTCACAAAGTTAAAACTTGTGCACCAGCTGCAACCGTACCCTGAGAAGTCTAACTTGGCCACAGTGGTCATGCCTTAGTTACATCTAGATTGGATTACTGCAATGCACTCTATGTGGGGCTACCTTTGAAGACAGCTCGGAAACTGCAATTGGTGCAAAGATCGGCAGCCAGGCTACTAACTTGAGCCTTGGGCCTTGAGATCTCCTGGGGAGACCCTTCTCTCAATACCACCACCGTCACAGGTGCACTTGAGGGGGATGAGAGAGAGAGTCTTCTCGGTGGTGGCTCCCCAGCTCTGGAATACCCTCACTAGAAAGATTGGATTATCCCCAAATCTCCAAACTTTCCATTCAAGCATAAAAAGATGACCATTTACACAGGCCTTTGATCTGGAGCAATGTATTATGGTTATGTCATGATGTTGACCATTGTTATTTGGCACTTTAGTTCATGTTTGGAGAAACCCAATGACCCACAAGTATGACTGTATTTTAGAATTTTTCAAAATTTTAATTTTCTCGATTGACATTGTCAAATTGGTATCGTTTTGATGATATGTAATTCTATTTTATTTGTGGCACCTTGAGTGCGTTATTAGCCACCCTGAGTCTCATCAGGGAGATGGTGGCAGGGTATAATCAAAGCTTTGTTGTTGTTGTTGTTGTTGTTATTATTATAACTGGTGCTAGTTAAAGGGAGCACATGATGCCCCTACTAAAGCAGCTCCATTGGCAGCCAATAAGTTTCCAGTCCCAATTCAAAGTGCAGATTATCACCTATAAAGCCCTAAACAGTTTGGGCCCTGCCTATCTTTGTGACTGCATCTCCCCCCCCCCCCCCGGTGAACCGGCGTGGGTTCTAAGATCTTCTCTCAATCCCACCACAGTCACAAGCGCGGCTGATGAGGACGAGGGAGAGTGCCTTCTCAGCTGTGGCCCCCAGGCTTTGGAAAGTCCTCCCCAGGGAGATTAAGCAGGACCCCACACTGTCATTCTTCCATAGTGACTTGAAGACCTAGCTGTTCAAACAAGCTTTTGAAAACACCTAGTCCCTAGTTGTTATCTGCAATAGTTATGCAACCTTGCACTTCATCCCATGCCCTCTTTCCATGTTTACAGCTCTGCACTTATGCCATTCCCTTGTCTTATTGTTTGCAGCCTGGCCACAGCAACTTACCACCACTGGTTGATGAGTGCAGTTTTATTGAGTCTTAAGTTGTTTTATATGCCGATATGTTTTACTCTATTGTATTTGATATTGTGTTTCATTTTATGCTTTGCTTTTAGGCACCTTGTGCTGTGTGCAAGCCACCTCAAGTCCTTTTGAGGAGATAGTGGTGGGATACAAGAATAAAATTGTTGTTGTTGTCGTTGTCATTGTTGTTATTATTATTATTATTTCTATTGCCTTTTTAAAGGAAAATACAACAACTGGGATAAAGTGGACCCAGCTGAACTTTTTAGCAAAGCTCCTACCGAAAAGAAAGAAGCGAACCCCAAACTGAATATGGTGAAATTCTTACAGGTATTTGAGCTGTTTATTTAAAGGAACACATTTGTTTGTGAACAGGCTGACCCCTTTAACCATGCCCTATATAGATTGTTAGATAGAATTTTAGGGTGTCATATCTTACCTCTTGTATGGCCCAGGTCTCAACCACATAGCACCAAAAAGGGAAGCTGTCAGGGTCCATAAGACAAAAATTCTTAGCTAATGGTTGCAAAACTTTTAGGCATTGTTGCTTTTGTCTCTTAACATGAGGCTTACAGGATAACCAAGAAAACTACGAAGCCATAAAAGAGCATGTTAAACTAACTGTTGTAATGGTTGTATGAGAAGAGGTACTATATATCTATATCTATATATCTTCTATAAATGTAATAAAAGAGGAAATATGTATGTCTGTGGCTGGGGTGTCCACTTACACAGACAAGCCCCACTTCCACAAATAGCTATAGCTCCCACTACTCAGGAGACCCAAAGGCCTTCCCTCCAATGACATTGCAGGTTATAGAGAGCGCCATGAACATGTACAAGACCCCTGCCAATGTCCTTCACAAACACCATACTGCCCACCATCCAAGTGAAGGCTTTCATATGGGGACAATTTCATCCTAGATTGTATGTGTTTCCTCCACCACAGACATCCACCACAGAACCCCCATGACCAAGAAAAAATGCTGGAGGTTTTTGGAGGGTTTTACGGGAGTTGTGGTTCACCAACATCCAGAGCGCACTATGAACCCAAACAATGATGGATCTGGACTAAACTTGACATGCATACCTGATATGCCCAAATTTGAATGCTGGTGGGTTTTGAGGGGAATTGGCCTGGACATTTTGAAGTTGTAGGTACTGGGATTTATAGTTCACCTGCAATCAGCGAGCACTCTGAACTCCACCAAAGATGGAATTGGGCCAAATTTGATACACAGAGCCCCTATGACCAGCAAAAAATAATGGAGGTCTTTGGGGGAAAGTGACCTTCCTTTCTGGGAGTTCACCCACAACCAGAGAAACTGTGACCTCCACCAATGCTAGACCTGGACCTAACTTGGCATACAGAATCCCCATGTCTAACTTAACTTACTGGAGGAATTTGAGGGGACTGACTCACCATAATGGGAGTTGTAGTTTACCCCACAGACAGAGAGTACATTGAACCCCACCGAGGATGCATCTAGAGCAAACTTGCCCACCATAACAAGCTTTAAGTAGTGATGGAGTTTTTCGGGGTTAACCTGGCATGATGTGAATTGTAGTTCACCCATAACCTTATGCATTTTGTACAATTAAAATTTTGACTTTTTCAAATAACCCTGGCAACGCTGAGCACCCAAGCTTTGAATAAATATGAGGGGCTCAATAATTGTTCCTTGCCACTCATCTGAAATTTGATCTACAAAGACTAAAAGAGACACTCAACCTACCTGCTTTATAGTCACTGGAATGTGTATCTTGATTTAATTTTTAGGTAGAGGGAAGAGGCTGTGATTATGTTGTTCTGTGGTTGGATTGTGATAAGGAAGGGGAAAACATCTGCTTTGAGGTATGTTTTCTATGAATATATTTACTCGTTAAGTACAGTGTTTTAGTTACTGTCTGTGGATGCAATAAAGTACAATTGGCAGAAAAAGTGAAGATAACTTAGTTATTAGAGTTTTGTGCACAGTTTGGAGACACTCCTGTTCATTGTTTTTTTTTTTTTTTTGTCTTATACTAGTCGTTCCAACACTAGGGGGACCCAAACTGGTAAGAACAGTTAATATATTGACACTGTTAATGGGTGCCAAAATTGGTAAGCTATGCCTTGTACATCAGTATCAGCAAAACGTAAAGTATGTCATTGGCTCATCAGTAGATGGCATTTTATGCTGCTGTAATAACAAATATACAGCAAAAAAAATGGTGGGAATATTCAATAATAATAATAATAATAATAATAATATATTTTATTTATTACCTGTCTCTCCTTTCAGCTTGAGGTGGGGCACAACATAGTTGTGTGTGTGTTGATAGATAGACAGACAGACACACACACACACACACACACATATCTATGATAGACTTGTCCAAACACTATGTAACAAATTTTGAAAAAAATTCTGTGTGAATAATAATCCTTTAATTCTGGGGCCTCAAACTCATTTTCATGGAGGACCAACTATAAACTTGTGCAGCAGCTGTGCCCCTACCTTGAGAAGCCAGACTTGACCACAGTGGTCCATGCTCTCATCACATCTCGAATAGACTACTGCAACACGGTTTGCATAGGGTTGTCTTTGAAGACTGTTTTGAAGCTTCAAGTAGTTCAACAGGTGGCAGCCAGGTTTCTACTGAAGCGGCATACAGGGAACATACTAAACCCCTGTTGCGTCAGCTCCACTGGCTGTCCATCTGCTACCGAGCACAATTTGAAGTGCTGGCTTTAGCTTATAAATACCTAAATGGTTCTGGTATACAAAAATATACAATAACAACACAATGCAACATCATTACACGATTAAAATATAAGTACCATAAACATTAAAAACATTATCATCACAGTTATAAGAGCCAAATCGTTCACACAATCGCACTCCCAAACTACCGTTCATCATCCTCCTTTCATATGGGCAAAGAATTAAATCAGTTGTCAAATGCCACGTTCCACAACCAGGTCTTTGTTAATTTCCTGAATGTCATGAGGGAGGGGGCAGTTCTGATCTCTAATGGGAGGGAGTTCCAAAGCCGGGGCGCCACCATCGAGAAGGCCCTGTCCCTTGTCCCCACCAGCCGTGACTGTGCAGGCGGTGGGACCGAGAGCAGGGCCCCTCCAGACAATCTTAATGGTCTTGATGGTTCATAGGGGAGAATACGTTCAGAGAGGTAAACAGGGCCGGAGTCGTTTAGGGCTTTATAGGTTAACACCAGCACTTTGAATTGTGCTCGGAAGCTAATCGGCAGCCAGTGGAGCTCGAGTAACAGCGGAGTGGTGTGCTCCCTGTATCCAGCACCCGTTAGTAGTCTGGCTGCCGCGCGTTGTACTTGCTGCAGCTTCCGGGCAATCTTCAGAGGCAACCCCACGTAGAGAGCGTTGCAGTAATCTAAACGGGATGTAACCAAAGCGTGTACTACCGTGGCCAAGTCAGCCTTCCCAAGGTACGGACGCAGCTGGCGCACAAGTTTTAGTTGTGCGAAAGCTCCCCTGACCACCGCCGAAACCTGGGGTTCCAGGCTCAGCAATGAGTCTAAGAGAACTCCCAAACTGCGTACCTGTGCTTTCAGGGGGAGTGTGACCCCGTCTAGCACAGGCTGTAACCCCGTACCCTGTTCGGTCTTACGACTGACCAGGAGTACCTCTGTCTTGTCTGAATTTAGTTTCAATCTGTTGTCCCTCATCCAGTCCGTGACAGCGGCCAAGCACCGGTTCAGGACCTGAACAGCCTCCTTAGTAGCAGGTGAAAAAGAGTGATAGAGTTGGACATCATCTGCGTACAGATGACACCGCACCCCAAAACTCCGGATGATCTCTCCCAATGGCTTCATGTATATTTTGAACAACACAGGGGACAGTACTGAACCCTGCGGGACTCCACAGTACAATGGCCGAGGAGTCGAGCAGGTGCCCCCTAAAGACACCTTCTGAGAACGGCCCTCGAGGAAGGACTGGAGCCACTGCAATGCAGTACCTCCAAGACCCATTCCCGCGAGGCGTCCCGGAAGGATACCGTGGTCGACGGTATCGAAGGCTGAAGAGAGGTCCAGCAGAACCAGCAGGGACACACTCCCCCTGTCCAATTCCCGGCGAAGATCATCCACTAAGGCGACCAAGGCTGGCTCGGTACCATGTCCCGGCCTAAAGCCAGACTGTGACGGATCTAGATAGTCCGTGTCCACCAGGAATTCCTGAAGTTGCGAGGCCACCACACGTTCCAGGACTTTGCCCAAGTAGGGGAGATTGGAAACTGGCCGAAAGTTGACGAATTGAGTGGGGTCTAGTGATGGTTTTTTCAACAGCGGTTTAATAACAGCTTGTTTTAAGCTGGCTGGAATATTGCCTTCCCGAAGGGAGGCATTAACCACCCCCTTTACCCACTCTGCCAAACCCTCTCTGGCTTCTTTTACCAGCCAGGAAGGGCAGGGGTCTAGGATGCATGTGGTAGGCCTCGCCTCTCCCAGAACCCTGATGACCTCGTCGAGTTGAACAGATCGAAACGAATCCAACAAAACTGGACAAGCAGATGCTTGAGTTACATCCTCAGAGACTGCAATTAATGTGGTGTCAAAGCCCGCGCGGATCAAAGCGACTTTGTCCGCAAAGTACTGAGTAAATGCTTCACAGCGCGCTGCCAAGTTGTCAGGGGACCCACTCGAGGTGGGGTTCAACAACCCTCTGACTACTCGAAACAGCTCTGCCGGACGGTTCCTTGCGGACGCAATATTGACCGAGTAGAAAGCATTTTGCGCGGCCTCTATTGCCGCGCCGTACGCCCTCAGATAAAGGCGTAGGCGTGTTTGGTTTGGTTCGCTGGGCTCTTTCCTCCACACGCTCTCTAGCCACCTCTTTGTTCGCTTCAGCTCCACCAGCTCCTCGTTGAACCAAGGGGCAGGTTTCGCTCGGCGACTTAAGAGGGGGCACTCCGGAGCAATCGTGTCTATTGCCCTAGTCAACTCCCTATTCCAGTGGGCGACCAGGGCATCGACAGAATCACCATCCAAGGCAGCGGAAACATCCCCTAGAGCCATCAGGAGTCCTTCTGGATCCATAAGCCTCCTGGGGCGGACCATCTTAATGGGTCCACCACCCCTGCGGAGATTAGAAGTTGCGGCAAGTCTAAACTTGATCAGGTGGTGGTCGGTCCATGGCAAAGGCGAGATTGATAACTCCTCCACACCGCCACCTTCTTCCCAGCCCTGACAGAAGACCAAGTCAAGTGTGTGTCCAGCACAGTGGGTAGGGCCAGATACTAGCTGGGACAGCCCCATAGTTGCCATGGCGGCCATGAAGTCCTGAGCCGCTCCTGAATGAGTGGTCTCTGCATGGACATTGAAGTCCCCCAGCACTACAAGCCACCGGGACTCCAATGCCAGGCCCGAGACCAACTCTGCAAGCTCAGGTAGGGCGGCCGTGGTGCAGCGGGGTGGTCAGTACACCAACAACAGCCCTATTCTGTCCCGGTCTGCTAACCTCAGGTGGACACATTCAAACAAGGTCGACTGTAAGGCTGGGCACCTGACCAAGGAGATGGAATCTTTATAGACTAACTGGCTCCCTTTATGAGCCAGTTAGAACATTAAGATCGGCCGGGGAAGTTCTGCCGACTTTGCATGTGCAATTGGAGGGGATGAGAGACAGTGCCTTCTTGGTGGTGGCCCCTTGGCTTTGGAGCTCCCTCCCCAGTGAAATTAGATCGGCCTCCTTCCTAGTGTTTAGGAAACAACTTAAAACTCGGCTATTCAAACAAGCATTCGGTGAATGATAGAAATATTGAAGTAGCTGAAGACAACCTCAGGATTGGTGCAAGGGCTAAATGTTTTATGTTGTGTCTGTGTTTGTTGTTTTTATAGTTTTATAGTTTTAATGGTTTTAATCTACAGCCATATATTGTTGATTTGATATGTGATGTATTTTATCTATGTGAGGCATTGAATTTTGTCATTGATTATGTTGTGAACCACTTTGAGTCTGCCCCAGGACTCAAAGTGGGAAAAGCGGTATAAAAATGCAATAAATGAACAATATATATATTTTTACATAGTGGTCAGTTCTCTTTAGTTTTTTCCATAATTTGGGGCTCCAGACAAGTCACATCTCTTTTGATATTATCCGCCTTGCAGAGGGCCACCTCAAATGACATAGTGGCTTGCATTCCGGCCTTGAGTTTGACACATGTGCTCTGATTGTAGGCCATAAGTCATCTCATGATGATTTTTGAAAGCCTGTGTTGTCGTGATTAATTATCTTCTTTCCCTTTTCCAGTGAAATGATGTACTGATGAGTTTCTTTTTAGTTCATCCATCTTCTTATGTTCTGAAAGTGATTGATTTTGGTGTGTTAAAAATGTATTGGTTGAATAGTGGTGGGTTTTTAAATAAATACATAAATGCTGGAACGGTTCACAAGTGTGATCTTGAATTTTCCATGGTGTTTGTGGGGAAAATGTTTGCAGTCAGTTGTGACTCAGCTTTCACATTTACTCTTTGTAGGTCCTGGATGCTATCGTCCCCATAATGAATAAGCCCCGTGGCAGTGAAAGGGTGGTGTACAGAGCCAAATTCAGCTCTATTACTGACACAGATATTTGCAATGCCATGAATCACTTAGGAGAGCCCAACCACAATGAAGCCCTATCGGTGGATGCCCGTCAGGAGCTGGATCTGAGAATTGGATGTGCGTTTACAAGGTATTTCTTGGCAGAGCTCCTCTACTTTGGCATGCCGTTCATCAGCATTGGCCAGGAGCTGGTCTAGACGGTACGCTTATCATAGTGATTGGCATCCATGTGTTTGGTTTGTCATGTTTCTGCCATATTGCTCAGGGGTATTAACCGGGTGAGTGAGACCCATTGCTTGAGTTTCACCATCTGTGATTGCAGTGTTATTGTCCACCAAAACCAGAAATATGAAAAATTTCAAGACAGGGTGAGCTTCCCCTGCTTGCAAAGCTGGAGTGTAGTGGTGGTGGTGATTATGACATTAATCAGGAAATCCACTCCTGAAAGAGCTATCATGGGGAAAAGAGGTTTCCACTGAAGCTTTATTGCCAATCCTTGTTTCCATAACAAGCCAGATTTTTCAAAATCCAATGACACTATGTTACAAAATGTGAAAAATGTTCTGTTCCTGTTTGAAAGTGTTATTTTCTGTTTAATTGTGCCAAAAAATAGGTTGAATTGGTTGAGGCTCTATGAGATATTTGTTTAAAAAACTATAGCAAAATGTCCTGTAGGATGTCCCGCACAAAGTTTTTGCAGTTTAATAAACATTTTCCATGTTTTTATGGTAGAACCAATTAGGAAATGACATTAATAACCCCGAGACAAAAATGGTGTTACATAGTGTTATCACAGAAAGTGAAGTGACATCTTCTGAACAGGGACACAGACAACAAAACAAACCTCACAGGGGTGTTGACCCTTCCCTATGCTAACCAAAGCTTTAAAAGATATATATTTTGGCTGGAGTTACACTTAAAATGTATCTGTTTCAATTAATATACAAATTCAATTTAAGAACAAACCTACAATACACCTTAGGGATTGCCTGTGTTTTAATATATGTGTTTTGTGATCATGTGTTTTGATGTATGGATTTTATGTTACGTATTTATGGAAGTGTTTTTTAATGGTTCCGTATCCTGCCTCGAGCTGTGAGAGAGGCCGATAATGAATAATAATAATAGTTGTTGTTATAAATCATGTGTATAAAATGTACATTAAGTTTTCCAAGTTGAGTGCATGCCACATGGTCATGATCTAGCAATCCAGTGTCCTCCAAACCCATGCTGGCATTATTCCATATGTAGAAATCGTTTGTTATGTTGGATACCAACACTGAACATTGGTTTGATTTATGTATTCATCCCAAAAGGTTTCAAACCAAATACTTCCAGGGGAAGTATGGCAATCTCGACAGCTCGCTGATCTCCTTTGGGCCCTGTCAAACGCCAACCCTGGGATTTTGTGTGGAGCGGCATGATAAAATCCAGTCTTTCAAGCCTGAAACGTATTGGGTGTTGCAAGCCAAGGTGAGCTCTATCCACTGTTTCTGTCTCCCATCAGCATCCAATTTGGGGCTAATGTATACTGGATAGAACAGCAGGGCAAGGGCTACAGCTGCTGCAGAAGTATCCTTCAGTTCATTGACCTTCTCTTCCTTCTCTTCAAGAAGAAAGAGGACACCGAGGGAGATTTTGGTTGCAACAGGCTCTATAGCACGCAGACTCTGTTGGTGAAGATATTTGTGATTTTTCTGTGTTCACAGGGAATCTTGACAGGGATTTGGAACACAAAATTCCTCTAAAACCAGTGTGCATTAAAAAAAGTTTTTATCCTCAGTTTTGTAAATGGATTTGTAACAAGAATGAGTGGATTGTGTTAAGAACCACAAAAGCGGAATTTTTATTTTACTAGTAAATAAAGTGTGCGTTCAGAAATATTTTTATTTGTCTTGGGAGCTTGAGATACAGCATCATTATTTACCTGTTTCCACACTAATATTGGTAGAATGTTTATTTATTTATCATGTCAGAAGTGAATTGAGAATACAGCTATAATGTATTAAAAAACCACAAACAAAATTAAAAAGTTGGCATTATACTAAATTTCCTTTGACCAGAAGCTGGCCACATGGAGTGCCTCTGGTGTCGCTGTAAGAAGGTCCTCCATTGTGCATGTGGCAGGGCTCAGACTGTATTGGAGTAGGTGGTCTATGGTTTGCTCTTCTCCACACTAACATGTTGTGGACTCCACTTTGTAGCCCCATTTCTTAAGATTGGCGCTGCATCTCATGGTGCCAGAGCGCAGTCTGTTCAGCACCTTCCAAGTCTTTTGTGTGCCCAGGAGGGAGTTTCACTTACGGTCTCAGCCACTGGTTGAAATTCTAGGTTTTAGCCTGCCATTTTTGGACTTTTGCTTGCTGAGGTGTTTCTGCGAGTATCTCTCTTGATCTTAGGAAGCTATTTCTTGATTTAAGGCATTGGCTTGCTGGCTGATATCTGAACAGAGTATACACTGGAGATGTCAATGCCTTGGTCCTTTCATTACTGGCTGCTATTTCCTGACAGATATCAGGTGATGCAATACTGGCTAAATAGTTTAATTTCTCCAGTGGTGTAGGGTGTAGATAATGTGTCATGTCTCAGTAAGAGCCACATCGACTGTTTTAACATGGTGAGATGTATTCCACACTGGACATGCATATTCAGCACCAAAGTGCAAGGGCAGATGTCACTGTCTCTGGTTATGAGCCCCAGGTTGTGCCAGTCAGCTTTCATATGATATTATTTCTAGCACCCACTTTTTGCTTGATATTCAAGCAGTGCGTCTTGTAAGTCAGAGCATGGTCCAGAGTGACTCCCAGATATTTTGGTGTGCTGCTGTGCTCCAGTGGGATTCCTTCCTTCCCAGGTAATCCTCTCAGCTTGAGATGCTTGTTTGTTCTTAAGGTGAAAAGCACATGTCTGCATTTTAGATGGATTAGGAATCAGTTGGTTTTCCCTGCAATAGTCAGTAAGAGAACCTAGAGCAGGGGTCCTCAAACTAAGGCCCAGGGGCCGGATACGGCCCTCCAAGGTAACTTACCCGGCCCTCACTCAGGGTCAACCTAAGTCTGAAACGACTTGAAAGCTCACAACAACAGTCCTATCTCATCAGCCAAAAGCAGGCCCACACTTCCCATTGAAATACTAGTAAGTTTATATTTGTTAAAATTGTTCTTAATTTTAATTATTGTATTGTTTTAAAGTGTTTTTTGCACTACAAATAAGATATGTGCAGTTTACATGTTTTTTTTCAAATTATAATCTGGCTCTCCAACAGTTTGAGGGACTGTGACCTGGCCCTCTGTTTAAAAAGTTTGAGGACCCCTGACCTAGAGCTTTGGAGAGCTTCTGTTCAACCATTTCAAAGTTCCTTGCTTGAGGGGTGATGGCACGATTGTCAGCATAGATGAAACTCTTTATCCCTTCTGGTAGAGGCTGATCATTTGTGTAAATGTTAAACATTGATGGAGCAAGCACGTTGCAACAGTGAAAATTAATAAACCAATACAGTGTCTTTTGACACTAAAAATTAGAGATTTACTTTTGTTTTTTCCCCCCTGTATATCTTCCTCCTGACAGGTTAGTCATGAAAAAGACAGCTGTCTGACTCTGGACTGGGACCGGGTTAGAATCTTTGACCGGGAGATTGCTCAACTGTTCCTAAACATAACAAAGGCAGTAAAGGATGCAAAGGTGAGGTTATAAAACACAAACATAAACACACACAGGCTTCCTTATTTTTCAAGCCCTTCTTCAGTGCAAAATTAGGGTGAAAAATATTATTACTCTTACTATTATTATTGTTATTAATAATAGTAATATTTCAAATAATAATATTTTAAATTATTATAATTATCATTATTATCCCACCTTTGACCTTTAGTTTCAAAATGTTGTGACTTTACTTCATATATATGAAAAGATACATTTGGGGGGGAAAGAGGTGCTGTAGCTTTTCAGACTTTTCTCTTTTCTACCATTTTTATTGCAATAAATAGCAACAGACTTTTCTAAATGATTGTCAGACCTTACTAAATAATGCCTAAATTATTTTGTAGGTTGAATCTGTGAGCAAAAAGGAGAAGGCCAAGCAAAGGCCTCTGGCTTTGAATACGGTTGAGATGTTAAGAGTTGCCAGCGCTGCTTTGGGTGAGTGTATACTGTTCGAAAGTGTATACCCGAGGTGGGTTTTGGGGAGTTTTTTTGTAAATCAAGTACAAATATGAACATGTTCTATGCTATCCTGTTGTCCTAAATGTACACATTTTCTTTCTAGGAATGGGACCCCAACATGCTATGCAAATAGCCGAACGGCTTTACACTCAAGGCTATATTAGTTATCCTCGAACGGAAACAACTCATTACCCAGAAAACTTTGACTTGAAGGGCTCTTTGCGGCAGCAGGCTAATAATCCTTACTGGGCCGAAACTGTGAGTATATGAAACTAAGCTATATTTTATTTTTATGCATAGCGTTTTCTGTCTAGAATAGCAATAGAAAAAAACAGTACATTGAATATGGCATTTTGGTTGCAAAGCTCCTGGCAAGTGCTGGGAAATGCTTCAGTCATGGTTTAACAGCTTATTGCACAAAAAGCAGGTTTCAGACCACGTAAAAACTGTACAGCCCAAATTCTTAATCTGACTAAGTATATCAAGAAAAGAGATGAGAAAGGTTGCATTACGGGAACAGTTTTTGTGGACTTTACAGCAGCCTATGACATGGTGCAACATAGAAAAATGCTGCATAAAGTTTAACATATTACCCGGGACTATGATTTTACAAAAACTTTCCAGACCCTCCTAGAAAACCTGAGTTTCTACGTGGAGTTTCAAGGCAGGAAAAGTAGATGGAGACAAAATAATGGTCTAACTCAAGGCAGCGTCGTTTAACATCTTTACTAACGATCAGCCACAGTCACCACTCACAAAGAGCTTTATATATGCTGATGATCTTGGACTAACAACAGAAGCAAAAGACTTTGAAATAGTCGAAAAATAACTTACTAATGCCTTGAAAGATCTCTCCAACTACTACAAAGATAACCACCTGAAGCTTTACCCTGCCAAGACATAAGTGTGTGCTTTCCACCTACGGAACAGTGAAACCAACAGGAAACTGAAGGTTACCTGGGAAGGCCAAGAGCTTGAACATTGTTTCCATCCTAAATATCATCATCACCTTAGATCAAACACTAACATTTAGGAAACACTGCATGAACACCAAGCACAAAGTAGCTGCACATAATAACATCCTGTAGAAACTTACTGACAGCGCATGGAGTGCAGACCCCAAATTAATAAGAACATCAACCCTGATCTTGTCTTACTCAGCTGCAGAGTATGCCTTCCCTGTTTGACATAAGTCTGTTCAGGCCAAGCAGGTGAACATAGCACTGAACGAAACATACAAAATAATCACAGGATATCTCAGACCTATAGCTGTTGATAGACTCTACATCCCCCCCTTCAATGTGAGAAGGGAAGTTGCTGCTAACTGTGAGAGAAATAAGGTTGAACACTGTGAAAGCCATCCACCGCATGGCTATTGGCCTCCTCTCAGTAGACTCAAATCAAGGAAAAGCTTTATGAGAACACCACTCCTCTTAACGTTCCCCCAGAAACAGCAAGAGTATCCCTCTGGGCAGCTAAACCAGGAAATCCCAACTGGATGGTCCCCCACAAGGGTCTGCCTCCAAGGGCAAACCAAAAATGGGCAACGTGGAAGTCCCTGAACAGACTCAGAAGTGGAGTGGGCAGATCAAAAGACAACTTGGCAAAATGGCACTGCCTATAAGAATAGTCCACCTTGTGTGATTGTGGAGCACAACAAACAACTCTGCACCTGTATGCTTCTCCACAGTGCCCTGCCTCATGTACTGAGGAATAATTGTTTAAAGCTACAGACAATGCGGCCACTGTTGACCGTTTTTGGTCTAAAATCATTTAGCCGCTTGTGCTCCTATTTTTATTAGTTTTTATACTTATATATACAATGCTTTTGGCACATTTTTAAAGTGTTTAATAGCTTTTCAGTCCTTTTGATTTCAATGAGACCATTTTAACTCTTCCAGTAAAATTAATAAGATAGGTGTTTTATTTTATTTTATTTTTAAAAAATTAATACAAAACATTTACCACAATACCCTTGTCTTGTTACATGGTCTATTCCTAGATCTATATCCCCCCCCCCCCCCATATTTCCCATAGTTTATACAAATACAGCTCTGTCAGTTCTTTTACTTCAAGTTATTCCAATTATCTCTATTAAATGTAATTCTTGTGATATGGTTTTTGAATTGTTCATCCACATTTTTTCTTGTCCTTTTGGTGGTTTAAATTCACCATCACTTTTACACCTGAAGCAAATAAATTACTTCCATGAATTTTCAATCTTTTATTTTTCCTTCTGTTCGTCTTAATTTATAGGTCAACTTTTTCCGATAGGGCTATAACCTATATCCTATTTAAACAATTCTGTATGGATAAATTATCTAGCCTTTTCCAGGTTCTGGCTATTTTGAGTCTTCTCCTACTCCTTCTACTCCTCCTTATTCTATGTAGTTTAAGTGGATAATAGTACTATCTATGCATAAGTATTTTCTCTCTGTGGTGCTGAAAATAATAAATACATACCCTTGGGTTTTCCAGATTACATCCTGTTGTAGGATATCATATTTCATCGCATCATAGTCACACTTTTTATTCCTTTTTTATATAGAAAAGGAAGGTGCAACTCTTACGTGATGAAAATAAATCTGCTTCTGATTCTCTGGTTTCTGTGTTTTGAAAATAAAAATTAGCTGCCTTACCTAGACAGAAGGAGGAGGGAAAATCCAGCCTCAAACAAACAGATCCATTTCTGTTTCCTTGTTTGTTTGTTTGTTTGTTTTTAGACTGATTTGCCTCAGAGTAAGGAGGAGAGAAGATTCCTCCTCCTTCCCTTCCTTTTTCTTTGAAGGCAAGGCAGTTTACAAAATCTGAAATAGAGCTCTTTGGAGGAGGGAGGGAAGATCCAAGTTCCAGAGACGTCCATTTCAGATTTTGTAAACTGCCTTGCCTTCAAAGAAGGAGAGGGGAGAGAAGAGTTGAGCCTCCTTTTTCATAGTTTTAAAACTGCCTTGCCTTCAGAGAAAGAAGGGAGAAAGAAAGGGGTATGACTATTACTCCAAACCGCTCTGCGACTGTTATGCAAGGAACACAAAGATCCCAATTTGCCACTTGGAAAAGTGGGGTATGACTATTACATGCTGGCGACTTTGATGCAATGAAATACAATAGTTTAACCAAGTAGGTTGTACCATTCAGTTGAACTTATCCCTTGTGATTTGCCCTCTCATGCGTTGTTTCTTTCCAAGGTAAAAGCGTTACTGGCTGAAGGTATTAACAAGCCAAGAAAAGGCCATGATGCTGGGGACCACCCTCCAATTACACCAATGAGAGCTGCCTCAGAAGCAGAACTAGGTAATTAAGAATGGAAAATTCTGATTCAAAAATTGCATTGGATGGACTGTATCAGCTGTAGTTTCTTAGATGTGGTTGTCCTGGTTTTCTAGCGGCGAGTGGTAAATAACATATGTGTTGTGTGTCTCAAAAACAGGAGATGATAGGGGGAAACGGGTGCGACTTTTGGAACCAGAAGAACAAATAGACCCAGAAACAGAGCTAATATAAGAGGCCAAATGTGTGTCAGCCAATGTTGTTGTTGTGTTTGTTGTTATGTTTTTGTTATTATCTCCATTAATGATGATGATTTCTATCCCAATTCTCTATTATTATTACCATTTACATCCCACTTTATCTTTCTGCAAAGAGACCCAGAATGCGCATGAATAGGAGAAATAAATTATTTTCCCTAAACCACTGCACAAAATCGACATATGATCATCTCTCTGAATTTAAGGGCATAATTTTTAGGGATTTGATTATTCATTGATTTAATATCTCTAGGAATTTGTAGGTCCTCCAGTGTGGAATATATATATCAGAATATGTATAGTTTCAAAAGAACAATAGAACATGCATAATAAAACAATTATAGAACAATTTTTTTAAGGTTACGTGTTTTAAAAACTATACAGGCAGGCCCCAAGTTATGAAGAAGATAGGTTCTATACTAAGTTGACTCTGTATGTAAGTCAAAACAGGTACATTTTTTAAGTGTAACTCCAGCCAGAAATATGTATCTTTTAGCTTTGGATAGCAAACTAACAGACAGAAAAAATAAACAAACCACTTATCTTTGATAGTTGTATCTTTTTATTAACCTATTCCCTTTAACCACCTTTCTGTTGTTAATGGTATTTTTTTAATTCATTAATCTCACAACTAACAAAGCCCCCTCCCCCAATGTTGTTATAACAAAATAATTAAACAAGTTCTCAGAGTTGGACCAATATATCTCCTTATTTGCCCTGATCAGATTGACAATTCAGAAATCTTCATCAGCCATTCTCATCATTCTTCATATTCCCTTTTCCATATTTTCCTTCTCCAGTTTGAGTCTGTGGTCAGATTCCACAGAGAGTCACACTGGAGGTCCTACAAAGGTTTTATATCAGACTAGCTGTCCCCTGCCACGCGTTGCTGTGGCCCAGTCTGTTGATCTGGGAAATAAAGTAATGAGAAAGTGTTGGTTTCTAATATATATAATTATGCTTGTGAGTAAACAGTATTTCTTGCTGTGTCTTTGTCAGTGTTGATGTAGAGAGTGTCTGGTTTGCCCACTCTGGAACATGCAACATATCATTGTCCTTCTTTAAGGGTCCCTTTCAAATCTATGACACTATATCTCTCTGTTTGTGAATCATATCTATCTATCTATATCAGTGGCTGGATGGCTCTTTGTCAGGAGGGGTTTGATGACATTTTCTTGCCCTGATGGAGTTGGATTGGATGGCCTTAAGTATTTTCCGTTGGTTATGGGGGTTCTGTGTGGGAAGTCTGCCCGGATTCTGTCGTTCATGGGGTTCAGAATGCTTTTTGATTGTAGGTGAACTGTGAATCCCAGTGACTACAACTCCCAAATGTCAAGGTCTATTTCCCCCAAACTCCATCTGTGTTTATATTTGAGTATATTGAGTATTCGTGCCAAGTTTGGTCCAGATCCATCACTGTTTGAGTTCACAGTGCTCTCTAGATGTAGGTGAACTACAACTCCCAAACTCAAGGTCAATGCTCAGCAAACCCTTCTAGTGTTTTCTGTTGGTCATGGGAGGCCTGTGTGCCATGTTTGGTTCAATTCCATCGTTGGTGGAGTTCAGAATGCTCTTTGATTGTAGGTGAACTATAAATCCCACAACTACAACTCTCAAATGAAAATCATAATTTTTTGAGTGAAGGCCACTCCTTGTGTTGTGAGATGTTTTGTTGCCAAATTTGGTGTGATTTCGTTCATTGGTTCTTTTGTTTTTAAGGTACTCATTATGCACAGAGCATGGCTGGAATCACTGGGTTGTTGTAGGTTTTTCAGGTAGGAAGAGACCTCCAAGGGTCATTCGGTCCAGCCCCTTCTGGAAAATGGGAAAAGCACAATCTAACCACTCCTGAGAGATGGCCATTCAATCTCATAATAATAATAATAATAATAATAATAATAATAATAATAATAAATGAATCCTAGGATAGGAAGAGACCTGCAGGGGACCTGCAGTCCAGCCCCTTTTGGGAAATGGGAGAAGCACAATCTAACCACTCCTGACAGATGGCCAGCCTCAGTTTAATAATAATAATAATAATAATAATAATAATAATAATAATAATGGAGAGGAAGAGACCTCCAGGGGCCATCTAGTCCAGCCCCCTTTGTCTTCTGCCTATATCATCACTTAGAGGCCTCGCCCCCTTCTGGCTCCAAGGGCTGCTCTACCCAGAGCAAAGACAGAAGGGCACAGAAGAGACTTCCATCTTGTCTTCTGCCTATATCATCACTTAGAGGCCTCGCCCCTTCTGGCTCCAAGGGCTGCTCTAGCCAGAGCAAAGACAGAAGGGCACAGAAGAGACTCCATCTTGTCTTCTGCCTATATCATCACTTAGAGGCCTCGCCCCTTCTGGCTCCAAGGGCTGCTCTAGCCAGAGCAAAGACAGAAGGGCACAGAAGAGACTTCCATCTTGTCTTCTGCCTATATCATCACTTAGAGGCCTCGCCCCCTTCTGGCACCAAGGGCTGCTCTAGCCAGAGCAAAGACAGAAGGGCACAGAAGAGACTTCCATCTTTTCTTCTGCCTATATCATCACTTGAGAGGCCCCTCCCCCTTCTGGCACCAAGGGCTGCTCTAGCCAGAGCAAAGACAGAAGGGAACAGAAGACACTTCCATCTTGTCTTAGAATTTACTATTCTTATTGTTAGTTAATTGTGAAAGGGGCAAGGGACAAAGCGAGCTGGAGATCTTGGGAAATGATAGACAGGGGTGGGGGGAGATAAAGGGAACAGAAGACCATGGCAAGTTGAGATCCCAACAAAGCAAATAGCCAACAATGAAATACATATTGAGGTTCTGGATATGGAATGCGGCATGGAGGAGGAGGGGTGTTGCGCCAGCCGAGGGGCTCTCATAGAAGTGGTGGTGGGGAAGGGGAGATGCGGGAAAAGGAGACCATTAATTCGGCCTAGGGATCGTGTAACAACATTAGTAATTCCAAACCGGTCTCCTGATATGGTAAGCTGGTGTAACCAGGATGGCGGTCCCTCTGGATTGAAGGTGGTGCTGTTGAACGCCAGATCTGTCAATGGAAAAACAACTTTCATCCAAGACTTAATCCTGGATGAGCGGGCAGATCTGGCGTGCATTACGGAGACCTGGTTGGACGAAGCGGGAGGCGTGAATTTGACCCAGCTTTGCCCACCAGGTTTTTCCGTGCAGCACCAGCCGAGATCCGGAGGGCGGGGAGGCGGGGTCGCAGTGGTCTATAGAGATTCCATCCCTCTGACCAGGGGCCCCATCCCGCAGTCAACAAATTTTGAATGCGTCCACTTGAGGTTGGGTGACCGGGACAGAATAGGGATTCTGTTAGTGTACCGCCCACCTCGCTGCACTACAGTCTCCTTACCTGAGCTAGCGGGGGTGGTCTCAAGCCTGGCATTGGAATCCCAGAGGCTCCTTGTGCTGGGGGACTTCAATGTCCATGCTGAGGCAGCCCTTTCAGGAGCGGCTCAGGACTTCATGTCTGCCATGGCAACCATGGGGCTGTCCCAGCAAGTATCTGGCCCCACTCATAGTGCAGGACATACATTGGACTTGGTTTTCTGCCAGGGATGGGAGGAAGGTGGCGGGGTCGAGGAGCTGACCATCTCTCCGTTGCCATGGACCGACCACTTCCTGGTCAGATTTAGGCTCACTGCGCCCCCTAACCTCTGCAGAGGTGGAGGACCCATTAAGTTGGTCCGCCCCAGGAGGCTTATGGATCCGGATGGATTCCTGATGGCTCTTGGGGAGTTTCCCGCCGCCTCGGTAGGTGATCCTGTCGAGGCCCTGGTCACTCTCTGGAATGGGGAGATGACTAGGGCAATTGACACGATCGCTCCGGAACGTCCCCTCTCAAGTAGCCGAGCTAAACCAGCTCCCTGGTTCACCGAGGAGCTGGCAGCGATGAAGCGAAGGAAGAGGGAACTAGAGAGTGTGTGGCGTTCGGATCCGAGTGAGCCAAATCGAACACGGTTTGTGTCCTTTTTAAGGGCATATGCCGCGGCAATAAAAGCCGCAAAGAAGGCCTTCTTTGCGGCCACTATTGCGTCTGCAAAGAACCGTCCGGCTGAGCTGTTCCGAATTGTCAGAGGCCTTTTGAATCCCACCACTCAAGGTGGGAACCCTGACGATTCGACTTCTCGCTGTGAAGCTTTTGCTCAGTTCTTTGCAGACAAAGTCGCTTTGATCCGTTCTGGTCTGGATACCATGTTAATGGCAGTCTCTGAGGATGTAACACGAGCACCTGCTTGTCCAGTTTTGATGGATTCATTTCAATTGGTGAAACCCGAGGATGTGGACAAGATACTTGGAGGAATGAGGCCAACCACATGCATCCTGGACCCCTGCCCATCCTGGCTTCTAAAGGAGGCCAGAGGGGGATTGGCTGAGTGGGTTAAGGTGGTGGTTAATGCTTCCCTTCAGGAAGGCAAGATTCCAGCGAGCTTAAAACAAGCTATAATAAAACCGCTGTTGAAGAAACCTTCACTGGACCCCACTAAATTCGACAACTATCGGCCAGTTTCCAATCTCCCCTTCTTGGGCAACGTCTTGGAACGTGTGGTGGCCTCACCACTCCAGGTATTCTTGGTAGATACAGATTATCTAGACCCGGCACAGTCTGGCTTTAGGCCGGGACATGGTACCGAGACAGCCTTGGTCGCCTTAGTGGATGATCTGCGCCGGGAGCTCGACAGGGGGAGTGTGTCCCTGTTGGTGCTGCTGGACCTCTCAGCGGCCTTCGATACCGTCGACCACGGTATCCTTCTGGGACGCCTCGCGGGGATGGGTCTTGGAGGTACTGTTTTGCAGTGGCTCCGGTCATTCCTAGAGGGTCGATCTCAGAAGGTGTTGTTGGGGGACACCTGTTCAACCCCACAACCATTGCCTTGTGGGGTTCCTCAGGGCTCAATATTGTCTCCCATGTTGTTTAACATCTACATGAAGCCGCTGGGGGAGATCATCCGGAGTTTCGGGGTACAGTGTCATCTGTACGCGGATGATGTCCAACTCTGTCACTCCTTTCCACCTGCTACTAAGGAGGCTGTCCAGGTCCTGAACCGGTGCTTGGCCGCTGTGACGGTCTGGATGAGGGTGAACAAATTGAAATTGAATCCAGACAAGACAGAGGTACTCCTGGTCAGTCGCAAGGCCGAACAGGGCATCGGGTTACAGCCTGTGTTGGATGGGGCCGCACTCGCCCTGAAGACGCAGGTTCGCAGCTTGGGTGTGACCCTGGACTCATCGCTGAGCCTGGAACCCCAGGTTTCGGCGGTGACCAGGGGAGCATTTGCACAGCTAAAGCTTGTGTGCCAGCTGCGCCCGTACCTTGGGAAGTCTGACTTGGCCACGGTAGTCCACGCTCTGGTTACATCCCGTTTAGACTACTGCAACGCTCTCTACGTGGGGTTGCCTTTGAAGACAGCTCGGAAGCTCCAACTAGTCCAACGCTCGGCAGCCATGATTTTAACAGGAGCGGAGCGCAGGGAGCATACAACCCCCCTGTTGCGCCAACTCCACTGGCTACCGATCTGCTACCGGGCTGAATTCAAAGTGCTGGCGTTGGCCTTTAAAGCCCTAAACGGTTCCGGCCCAAGCTACCTATCCGACCGCATCTCTGCCTATGAACCCACCAGGACTTTGAGATCTTCCGGGGAGACCCTGCTCTCGATCCCGCCTGCTTCTCAAGCACGGCTGGCGGGGACGAGAGATAGGGCCTTCTCGGTGGTGGCTCCTCGGCTGTGGAACGCCCTTCCTACGGACATTAGACTAGCACCATCTCTAATGGTATTCCGCAAAAAGTGAAGACCTGGCTGTTTGAGCAGGCGTTCGAATAATTAGTGCAATGATTGGTTAATGAACACTGGAATGGAACAATGGATGACGAATCTGGAACATGTTTTTGATGACGAGACAACAGTGAATGGGTATTGTAGTAACTGTTTATTAATTGTGTAATGTGTTAGGTTGTTAACTGTTTCTATACTGTAGCACTGAATTTTTGCTGTTCGTATTTGTTGTGAACCGCTGTGAGTCGCCTTCGGGCTGAGAACAGCGGTATATAAGTAAGGTAAATAAATAAATAAATAAATAAGGGAAAAGCACAATCTAAACACTCCTGAGAGATGGCCATTCAACCTCATAATAATAATAATAATAATAATAATAATAATAATAATGAAAGAATGCTAGCATAGGAAGAGACTTGAAGGGCCCATCCAGTCCAGCCCCTTTTGGCAAATGGGAGAAGCACAATCTAACCACTCCTGACAGATAGCCAGCCTCAGGTTAATAATAATAATAAAAATATAAACAATAATAATAGCAGTCCACTTACATCCGGAGAGCACTGTGAACCAAAACAAAGATGAATCTGGACCAAACTTGGGAAGAAAACTCAATATGGCAAAATTGGTACACAGTGGAGTTTGGGGAAGACCTTGACATTTGGGAGTTGCTTGTGGGGGGACGGGGTGGTTTTTCTACTTTTGCAGAGGAAGGAAGGCAGGAAGGAAAGACAGAAGATAAGGGGAAGAAGGAAACGAAGGAAGGGAGGAAGGGGAAGGGTGGGAAGGAGGGAGGGAGGAAAAACAGAAGGGGAAGAAGGGAAGGAAGGAAAGAAGGCAGAAGATAAGAGAAAGAAGGGAAGAATGGAAAGGAAAGGTAGGACAGAAGGGGAAGGGATGGAGGGAGGAAAGAACAAAAAATAAAGTTAAGGAAGGAAGAAAGGAAAGACAGGATAAGGGGAAGAAGGGAGGGAAGGAAATAAAGAAAGGGAAGGGGGGGAAGGAGTTAGGAAAAACAGAAGGGGAAGAAGGAAAGGAAAGGAAAGGGAGGGGAGGGAGGAAAAACAGAAGATAAGGGAAGGAAGGATCACAGCAGTCTGGCTGCCCCATGGGCAATGGGGAAGCCAGGGGGCGGGGGGAGATGAAAGAGGGCCACCTGCCCAGGAAGGCGCCAGGCCCTAGGGAAGGGAAGCGTGCAGCACTGGAAGGGCGAGTGGGGCTTGGTGGTGGGCCTCTGGGAGACTTCTTGGGGGGAACAGAGGGTGAGAGGGACGGAGGACGGCAGGCCCCGAAACAGCCAGGGAGGAGGGGGAGGAGTCCTCTCTGCCTGCAATTGCTCCTGGGAAAGGCGGGCCAAGCGTCTCCCAGGCGCAGTTGCTATGGAGTGGAGAAGCCACCTCCTGCTTCTGCTCCCTTGGTTGAGGCTCAAAGAGGCATTGAGGAAGTGAATAGGAAGAGACACCTCTGTCTCCGTTGGTCAGGCTGGTGTTTCAGATGGGGAATTTTGGTGGAGCTGTAGGGAGGCCCAGCACAAGTTCCGCCACGAGACGATGGAGGAGCTCTTACATGCACGTGCGCACCCCCCACAGCTGCACGCATGCGCTGTGATGGCTTCTCCTTTTATTAAGGATTTCTAAGTTGTTTTCGATTTTTTTCTAATTTTTATTATTGTTGGTCACACCTTGTATGGTGAGGAGTTTTGTTGGCAAATTTGGTGGGTATTGGCCCAGAGGTTCTTTTGTTTTTAAGCCACTCATTACGACATGAGCATTTATATATATATACACACACACATACACACACACACATATACATACACACACACATACACATACATATCATTTTTTCACATTTCCTGGGGTCCTCTGCCCCTAATTCCAGCAAATGTGGAGGGTCTACTATACATTTTTTAAAAGTGGGACACAGACTGAGTCTTGCGGGCTTCTTTCTTTCTTTCTTTCTTTCTTTTCTTTCTTTCTTTCCAGGTGGTGACGGATGGAGACTATTTGAATATATCACAAGGCATTTCATTGCTACCGTCAGTGCGGACTGCAAATACCTCCAGACAACTATTACTTGCAGTGTTGGAACAGAGCATTTCACTTGCATAGGAAAGACAGTTATTTTGCCAGGTGAGGAAGAACCCAAATTATAATACTCTGTGTTTCTTTTCAGCTGAGAGAGAGGTCTAATTCCATTACTTAATAGAGCTTATTATTGGTGTTAAAGTGGTAGAGAATTTATTTATTTCATTTATTTACTATATTTATGCCCCGCCCTCTTTCACCCTGAATGGGAATCGGAACGGATTACAAGTAGGCAACAATTCAATACCACATAAACAGACATAAAATAAAATAAACATACACATTAAAACAAAAACGTTTTTTAAAAATCTAAGCTTTAAAACCAATTGTTAAAAACCACACAGTCCAAATTTATAGTCCAGTAGTCACTCTGGTCATAATTGCACTTATTCTGTATCCACTTATTGCTCTGAATTTACTATCCAAACGCTTGGTCCCACAGTCACGTTTTTAATTTCTTTCTAATGGTCAGGAGGGAGGGAGCTGATTTGATTTTGCTGGGGAGGGCGTTCCACAGCCGAGGGGCTTCCATTGAGAAGGCACTGTCCCTCATCCCCACCAGCCGCACCTACAAAGGAGGTGGGACTGAGAGTAGAGCCTCCCCAGAAGATCTTAACCTCTAAGGTGTTTCATAGAGGGAGATATGTTTGGTCAGGTAAGCTGGGCCAGACTTGTTTAGGGCTTTATAGGCCAAAGCCAGCACTTTGAATTGTGCTTGGTAGTAGACTGGCAGCCCATCTAGTCTAACCTCACTCTGCCATGTAGGGCAAGCACAATCAAAGTCCTCCTGCCAGATGGTCATCCAGCCTTTGCTTTGAAACATCCAAAGAAGGAGCCTCCACTAGACTGAGGCAGTGAGGTCCACTGATTTTTGGACTATGGCTTCAAACTACTGGGAAGGAGATTCCACCGGAACATTAGGAGGAACTTCCTAACTGTGCGCACTGTTCAGCAGTGGAACTCTGTGGCCTGGAGTGTGGTGGAGGCTCCTTCTTTGGAGGCTTTTAAGCAGAGGCTGGATGACCATCTGTCGGGAGTGCTTTGAATGTGATTTTCCTGCTTCTTGGCAGAATGGGGTTGGACTGGACGGCCCACGAGATCTCTTCCAACTCTATGATACTATGAGGGGAAGGGAGGGAGGGAGGAAGGAAAAGGGAAGAATAAGAAAAAGGAGAAAGAAGGGAGGAGGGAAGAAAAAGAAGGAAAGGAAAAAGGTAGAGAAAGGAAAAGGGAAAAGGTATTAGTGGCGTGAAGAGAAAGAAGGGATGAAAGTAGGGAGAAGCAGCCCCTCCCAACCCCCAGCCAACAGTGGCTAGATATGTTAGCAAATAAATAAAAATTAATGGCATCTTTGGTAAAACTCTTCGAACAATGGGCTTGATTGGTTACAAACCACAAGTGCTATCTTTATATAATTGTGCAGTTTTCTTCTTAACTCTAGGGCCAACTTGTCATAGATGCTGAGTCTTTATACAATTCTGCCTGTGTTGTAAATATCATGATTCTTTGTAGTATTTTAATGCCTTTTTACAGGTGGTTATTTCCCCTTGCATCCCATTGGGCTCTGCAAACTGCCTTAACTGGTGGTCTCTCTGAAACCAGATCCCATGGCCTGACCTATATACTCTAACCAATGAAGGGTTAAGCTGTAGAAAGGTTCAGAAAGCAAAAAAACTATTTTATTTTTGTAAACCTTACTACAGGTTTTACTGAGATTATGCCGTGGCAGAGCATCCCCCCAGAAGAAAGCCTTCCTAGCTGTGAGCGCGGCGATGTCTTCCCTGTCAGCGAAGTTAAACTCCTGGAGAAACAAACCAACCCTCCTGATTACTTGACTGAAGCTGAACTCATCACCCTGATGGAAAAACATGGCATTGGTAGGTAGTATATTGAACCTACATGCAGCTCTAGAAGAAAGTAACTTTCATCTAGTTATGATCCTCTGAAGTTTCTATTTGCCATTGTGATGAGTGTGAGAGAGGCTAAGAAAGAGGGGTGCTTTCTTAATCAATGGTTAGTCTGGATCAGCCAAACTTCGGGTTTATGGAATCTATTTTGTTTTTTTACTAGAAGCCTGAGTAAAACCAGGATAAAATAGAAGCTGGGATGGACGGAGACCTAGAAAAAAACAGGATGCCCCTGTAGTAGTAGTAGCAGTAGTAGTAGTAGTTATCGTAGTCGTAGTTGTAGTAGTAGTAATAATAATAATAATAATAATAATAATAATAATAATAATAATAATAATAAATGTAGCTCTCTTTGTGGCTTGAGGTGGAATACAACAAAGAGATAAAACATTAAAATACAAATAACAGCATACTCAGTATTAAAATGCAGGTTAAAATTAACCGATAAATGCAGATTAAAATTCAGTAACAATAATAGTTATTGTATTGCCAGTCCAATAATTTTTTTCAGTACCTGATCGAAGTGTACAGTTCTTCCACTCCTAGTTCTGCTTCAATTTTTCTTTTTCTCGGCGGCCTGATTTAGTAGGAGGTTGTTCAACTATTGGGAGAGGAATCCAGAGAAAATCACCCAGAATTCTGCCAGTCAGTCCATTCTACCCGATCTCTGCTTCAGCCATGGCAAAGGCAATGCTGCTTTAGATATGTATTCCATCAGCATTTTGACTGGAGCTTGGCCACATTCTACCAATGAGGTTAAGAGAAAAGGGTTGATGGATGTAAAGTTATCAGCAGAGTGACTAAAAGACTGAAGTTGCAGTTCTATACAGATTTACCTGGGAGTAACCTCTACATTAATAATAATAATAATAATAATAATAATAATAATAATAATTTTCTTTATTACCCACCCCTCCTTTCGGCTCAAGGCAGGGCACAGCATACTGTATATACTTGAGTATAAGCCGACCTGAATATAAGCCAAGGCACCTAATTTTACCACAAAAAACTGGGGAAACGTATTGACTCACGTATAAGCCGAGGTTGGGAAATGAAGCAGCTACTGGTAAATTTCAAAATAAAAATAAATATCAATAAAATTACATTAACTGAGGCATCAGTAGGTTAAATGTTTTTGAATATTTACATAAAACTGTAGTTTATGATAAGACTGTCCAACTCTGATTAAACCATTATTTTAACCATCTTCAATGTTAATGTGCTTACGTATCTTCCAATAATAATAGAGTAAAATAATACATGTAATAAAAATAATAATAGAGTAAAATAATGTAAATGTAATTATAACAATGAAAATAGAGTAAAATAATAAATGTAATAATAATAGAGTAAAACAATTGTAATTTTTTTTATTGTGTCATTAGCAACCAGACATTTGTATTACATTTTTAACAAAAACAAACAAACAAGCAGACAGACAAAACACAGAATTTGCAAGTTTGGTAGTTGATTAAATGTCCTTTGACCAGTAGCTGGCCACTTGGAGTGCCTCTGGTGTTGCCGCAAGGAGGTCCTCCATTGTGCATGTGGTGGGGCTCAGGTTGCATTGCAGCAGGTGGTCAGTGGTTTGCTCTTCTCCACACTCGCATGTCGTGGACTCCACTTTGTAGCTCCATTTCTTAAGATTGGCTCTGCATCTCGTGGTGCCAGAGAGCAGTCTGTTCTGCACCTTCCAAGTCACCCAGTTTTCTGTGTGCCCAGATATCAGCCATTGATTGAGGTTCTGGATTTGAGCCTGCCACTTTTGGACTCTCGCTTGCTGGGGTATTCCAGCGAGTGTCTCTGTAGATCTTAGAAAACTATTTCTTGATTTAAGTCGTTGACGTGCTGGCTGATACCCAAACAAGGATGAGCTGGAGATGTCACTGCCTTGGTCCTTTCACTATTGGTTGCTACTTCCCGGCGGATGTCAGGTGGTTGCTATACTGGCTAGACAGTGTAATTTCTTCAGTGGTGTAGGGTGCAGACACCCCGTGATAATGTGGCATGTCTCATTAAGAGGCACATCCACTGTTTTAGCATGGTGAGATGTGTTCCACACTGGGCATGCATACTCAGCAGCAGAGTAGCATAGCGCAAGGGCAGATGTCTTCACTGTGTCTGGTTGTGATCCCCAGGTTTTGCCAGTCAGCTTTTGTGTGATATTGTTTCTAGCACCCACTTTTTGCTTGATGTTCAGGCAGTGATTCTTGTAGGTCAGAGCACGGTCCAGAGTGACTCCCAGGTATTTGGGTGTGCTGCAATGCTCCAGTGGGATTCCTCAGAGCTCGGGATGCTTGTCTGTTCTTAAGGTGAAAGGCACATGTCTGTGTTTTAGATGGATTAGGGATCAGCTGGTTTTCCCTGTAATAGGCAGTAAGAGCATCTAGAGCTTCGGAGAGCTTCTGTTCAACCATCTCAAAGCTCCCTGCTTAAGCAGTAATGGCACGATACGTCAACAATTGTAATAATAATAGAGTAAAATAATAAATGTAATTAAAAATAATAGAGTAAAATAATGTAATAATAATGATAATAATGATAATAATAATACAGTGTAAAATAATAAATAACTTTGACTCAAGTATAAGCCGAGGGGGGCCTTTTCAGCCTAAAAAGGGGGCTGAAAACTTGGCTTATACTCAAGTATATACGGTAGTTAAAATGCATCATCACAATAAAATATGTTGCATTATGATCCCCATTTCAATCTTGCTTGTGTCATAAACATATTAGGTGGGCTTCACCCTCTGTCTCTTTTAACGGCAGTACTATTACAGGGTTATTTCTACAATTGCAACTCCATGATGGATATGAAATGCACTCTCTGTTCTTTTCTTCAATATCTATGTTTGTTAGACTGCTACTTCTCAGGGACAGGCTTCCTTTTCTGAGCACATGGCAGACTCCTGAGTCCTCCATTTTGTACGGCACCTGTGAGCATGGAGAGAGACAAGGGGTCTGCTTCCCGGAGTTAGATAGTTTGATAGTTAGCTCTTTACTGTCCTATATAGAAATTAAGTTGTTTGTAACTTTTAAAGCTTGACTCTGCTCCTGTGTTGCTGATGCTCATTCACTCTACTGCTGCACTCAAGAAGCTTCTTGTAACGTCTTAGGAGAGAGGAGGGACGATTTATTATTTATTACTCTTAATGGTGCCACCAGTGTGTGATGTGAGGTAATATTGGGAGATATGGCACACTGGACGCAGAATTAATGGAGATGAGGCAGTCTTCAAACAAAAGAGAACAAGTTTATTTTGAACAAAGCGTATGGTTGCAGGCTGTTGATAAACTTGGAAATACTTTGAGAACTTTACATGTAACTTGGTTGCAATACAGTTCACACTTCTGGATGTTACAACTTGTAATTGACTTTTACTGTGGTGAAGCACTTTCTTAAACAATGTTTCCTGAGGTGAATAGCCTTCCTGTTTGATCCTTCCGTGATCAAACCCCAGATCTCTAGTTCATTTCTAACTAGTGATGTAAACAAGCTTCTCTTAGTCCTCTCTAACTAATGAAACTAATTAGGTTTCCCCTTCAGCCTTCCTAAACTGAAGAAACCTCCGACTATTCACAAACACTGCTTCTCTACTTCCCACTTTCTCTCTCTCAACTGCTAACTCCGACTCCAAAACCCTAACTCCTCACTCCTCGGAACCTAAAACCTAACTGAACATAAACTGTCGTTTTTCAAACTCTCCCCTCTAAGCTCCTCCCACTTCTCTACAGCATCGTCTCCATGGTAACGCACTCCTCTCAGCTAGGCCGCTCCAGCATTAGTGCAACCAATCCAAACACAAATACAGTTAAAATCATACAATTTATAATCAACTTCTGTACACTTCTGACCTGCTAAAATGCTGCTGTTACTGATTTACATTTTAAATGCTTTTTTCCTTTTTGAAATTACCTCAGCAACAACTGTTGATTATTATTGCCGTTGTTGTTAGGAACGGACGCCAGCATTCCAGTCCATATAAACAACATCTGCCAGCGCAACTATGTCACAGTGGAGAACGGCCGCAGGCTGAAGCCGACAAACCTGGGCATTGTTTTGGTCCACGGCTATTATAAAATAGGTAACTTTCTATGTGCTTTTGAAGAGCTTTAGAGAGTCCAGTTAGAGGAAAAGAATAAAAATGTAGTGCAATAAACTTTTAAGTATGGGATCCGTGGACATCATTCATTAGACTGACTTGTGGTTGAACATGTGCAAAGATGTTGTTATTTGTATACTGCTTTTTCTCTCTAAAAAAGCCTCCAGGTTCAATGCCGAGTCCAGGAGAATCCCTAAACTGCAGACCTATGTCTTCAGGAGGATTGTGATCCCATCCAGCCCAGACTAGATCCCTATTCCCTGATCTGCCTTCCAACTGACCAGGAGCAGCTCTATCTTGTCTTGGATTAAGTTTCAATCTTTTGCCCTCATCCAGTTCATTACTGATGTCAGACACCATTTTAGAGTTAGGAGAACTTCCTTGGTTTTAGGTCGAAAGGAGTAGTAGAGTTGGGTGTCATCTGCATATACATGGCACCGCACTCCAAAAGTCCAGATAATCTCTCCCAGTGGTTTCTATATATAGAACAGCAATGGGAGGATCAAACAGAACCCCAAGGAACTCCACAGGACAATGGCCAGGGGTATGAACAGGAGTCCCCCAGCACCACCTTCTGGGTATGCTCCTCCAGGAAGGAATGGAGCCACTGTAAAATAGTGCTTCTAAGACCCATCCCAGCGAGACAACCCAGAAGGATACCATGGTCGATGAAATGGAAAGCTGCTGAGAGGTCCAAGAGAACCTACAGGGACACATTCCCCCTATCCAGTTCTCTGCATACGGCACTCACCAAGGTGACCGAAGTGGTCTTTCCCCCATAACCAGGCCTGAAGCCAGATTGAAATGGTAAATGTAGTTAAGCCTTGCTGTTTGACTTTGACTCCCATCACTCCCAGCCATTGTTGGGTGAGTGGGCTTATTAACAAAAGACCCTCCCCATGAATGTATAGCAGAGTAACTTATTAGCAACAGTATGACCCAGCACCAGTAGCCAAAGTGATAAAAAGAACAAAGACACAGAGACCAATGCTATCTCTTCCATAGGCGGCTTTTCATTATATCAAAATAATATGGTTGCACTATTTACAAAAACAAGGTTTCCATAACATGAACAAAGTTCTTTATACTTCCTTCTTTTCTTCCATGCTGGGCTTCGCTCTCACCAAGCCTCTTCCCACACTGAAGTTACGCAAGAGCTTCACACAGTAACTTTTTACACACAGCAGCCTTTTACCCTGGAGCTTCACACACGATGGCCTTCATCCTGGGGCTACTCTCACTGAAGCTTTTCACACTGAGGCCTCCTAACACGGAAGCCTACCTCACACTGAGGCCTTTCTCCAACTAAGGCCTTCTCAGTCTAAGGGCTCTCTCAGACTGACGTCTCTCATATACTGAGGCAAAGTACACTGAGGTCTATTCACACACTGAGGACTGTCTTCCACAAAAACCTCTCACAGACTGAGGCTACTAAGCTACAGGCACACCTGCTTATATTTAACTGCATATTTTGCTGAGTCATTGCATCAATTTAACTCTTTCAGTGCTTGACTCACATTTTTGTAATTAAAAATACCTAGTTAATTTTTAATATTTCTGACAGCCCTCGTGGTCAATAGTAAGATATTGTGGAAGTTGTCCAAGACATCAGAAGGGCCACAGATCCCCTAATGCTGTGTTAAACGGTTGATGCAGTCCACTCAACATCTGAATGAGGCACATTGGGAATTAATTGCCTGAGGAAACACACAAATCCAGGTCATTCCAGCAGAGCATGAAGTGGAGAAGTTCCTGATGGACCTGGGATGTCCATTCCTACTCATTCTCTGTTTTGTGTCTCTCTCTCAGATGCTGAACTTGTACTTCCTACAATCCGCAGTGCAGTCGAGAAACAGCTGAATCTGATTGCTCAGGGAAAAGCCAATTATCATCAGGTTCTGGAGCACACCTTGGATATCTTCAAAAGAAAGTTCCACTACTTTGTTGACTCAATTGCTGGTGAGGATTTTTTTTTTTTTTTGCCCTGAAACCTGCCTAGCCCTAGCTAAAGAAATCGTTTTGAACACACTGATTTTTCCCCTAAAGTTGCAATATTCTTTTTGGGGAAGGCACCTGGATTCCAGAAGTTCCCATTTAGTCACACTAACCCTCAGATGTTTCGTTCCACCCACAAATATATTTCATTTTCAAACTGGAAAAGCAACAGCAAGACCTTGGGGCTATTCTTGAAACTAGCTGTAACTTAACTCTGATTTCCCCCCTTTTTCACGAGGTTTAAGAAAAGCCCATAGCCTCAACAAATATCACAGTAATGGGTTGCTGTGAGTTTTCCGGGCTGTCTGGCCATGTTCCAGAAGCATTCTCTTCTGATGTTTCGCGCACATCTATGGCAGTCATCCTCAGAGGTTGTGAGGTCTGTTGGAAACTAAGCAAGGGGTTTATATATCTGTGGAATAATGTCCAGTGTGGGAGAAAGCCTGGCTGTTTCCTGCCTGGTGGAATCCTGTGTTGGGAGGTGTTAGTTGGCTCTGATTGATTCCTGTCTGGAATTCCCCTGTTTTTTGAGTGTTTCTCTTTATTTACTGTCCTGATTTTAGAATTTTTTAATACTGGGAACCAGATTTTGTTCATTTTCATCCTTTGCTGAATGTAGCATTTGTTGAATTTTCTTAGTGGGTCTATAGATAGTTTGTAGGTTGTTTTTCTTAATCACCTTCCTTATGCAGTCAGTGGTTCCCTTGATGTATGGTTCTCTTGATGTATGTGGTCAAGGGAACCACTGACCACATAGGAAAGCTGATAAAGAAACACAACGTACAAACAGACCCACTAAGAAAATCCAAGAAATGCTATGTTCAGCAACGGACAAGATCCTCTCACCTCTGCAACACTCAGAAATAGGTGAATTCCAGACAGGATTCCCCCAGCCAGGCTTTGAAGCTAAAAGGCTATTCAATGCTAATCAAGGTGGGCAATTGCAACATTCACACTTGCTTCCAACAGACCCTAGACATTATTCCACAGGTATATATATATTCACCCCACTTGCCTAGTTTCCAACAGACCTCACAGCCTCCTGAGGATGCCTGCCATAGATGTGGTCAAAACATCAGGAGAAAATGCTTCTGGAACATGGCCATACAGCCCAGTGATTCCAGCCATGAAAGGCTTCGACAACACATCACAGCAATTTTTGTCCGAACTCTCACAAAGGACTAACAAATCAAAGAGCAGGGATATATCACTTGCCAAAGTGAACATGATTCAAAGCAGTGGACAAACTGTTGTAAAATGTTTACAGCTTGACCACATTGCTCCTTTTCAATCCTTGATATTTGAAATACTAGGTTGATGCTGGGTTGCTGAGTGCTCCTTGCAGGAGTGCTAGTCAAAAGGAACTGCTATCTCCCAAGCAAGTTCTAGTGTTGCACAAAAATCTTATACTCGAATATGAAAGCCTGTCTTCTCTTAATAGAGCTTGGAAAGCTGTTTTCAAAGCAATATGTTATATAACGAACGATTTACCCCAACCCCTTAATATGTTACTGTCATCATTGTTCCCCTGGCATTAGTTTTGGGGTCGGTGGGGGGACGGGGGACGGAGTTGAGTAGAAGAATGCAATAGAACATGAACATCTCCATTCAGGGTGCCTCTAAATTGCTGTAAAATACCTTGAAAGCATGACTTGAAAAAGTAACCAGATCACATTATTTGTTGCTCTGAAAAACTTCCCTTGCTCCACACTTGTTACATTCTTTTTGAAACATGACTTGTGTAGTTACATCACTGTTTACTCTCAGGCAACATTTTTCACTATGAATTTTAAGCTCATGTCCTGTGTTTACTGCATTTTAATCTTTGTTCTGTGCACTTTAATGTATGTTTTCCATAGAAATACATTTTATTTATATGTATTTTACATAATTTTTTTAGCTATGTTGTGCAGAGCCTCTGATGGCTCTGCACAAAAGGTCAGAGGTTTGAATCTGGGGAGCAGGGTGAGCTCTCATCTCTCAGCTCCAACTTCTCATGCGGGGACATGAGAGAAGCCTTCCACAGAATGGTAAAACATCCAGGTGTTCTTTGGGCAGCATCCTTGCAGATGACCAGTTCTCTCACACCAGAGCGATTTGCAGTTTCTCAAGTCGCTCCTGACATGGAAAAAAGCTATGTTGTGTCCTGCCTCAAAGTGCGGGCAAAAATAAAATAATAATGATAATTAGCTATTGCTGTTATTATTATTATTATGCAGAGATTGTGACTTAATGCCCATTTAATGTGCAACGTCTCCGAGTTTTGCCATAAATGGTCCCAGTTCTCAGCACACATGCCCAACATCCATGTTTGAACATTACGTACATTCGGGGAGAAATTGACTGGAGTGCTAATTATATCTCAGAGTAAATTCCACAATCTTCAGTGTTGCTTCATAATATTATGATAATATGATCATGGTATATATTATGCAAAATGTTGTTCATCAGCAGAATCCTGTTCTTGTCGCTTGGAATGTATCGTATTATAGAAGGAAATTCGTCCATTCAGTTTTCTTTCTGGCTCTTACCAAGTAGTGTTACTTTCTAAACTTTCTATGTTGCGGGTTTGTCTTTTTGTAGGCATGGATGAATTGATGGAAGTGTCTTTCTCGCCACTTGCTGCCACTGGCAAACCTCTCTCCCGATGTGGGAAATGCCATCGCTTCATGAAATACATCCAGGTGAAGAAAATTCAGAATTTAAATGGATTCAAAAGAAACAGATTCGTATATGCTTCCCCCACAATTGCATGTTGGGGATAATTTCCAAAAAGGACAACACATTTCTCAAGTGAAGCAGCAACAACAGTAGTAGCAGCAGTTCAGCAGATAAAAAGCTGTCGAAGCAGAGCACTTGATGAACCAACCTGGACACAGCATATTATTTGAGAACACAGAAATGCTGGACTACTCTAGCAACCACTATGTCAGACTACATAGAGAAGCCATTGAAATCCACAAACATGTGGACAATTTCAACAAAAAGGAGGAAGCTGTGAAAATGAACAAAATCTGGTTCTCAGTATTAAAAAGCTCTGAAATCAGGACAGTAAATAAAGAGAAACACTCAAAAAACAGGGGAACTCCAGATTGGAATCAATCAGAGCCAACTAACACCTCCCAACACAGGATTCCCCCAGGCAGAAAGCAGCCAGGCTTTGAAAGCTGCAAGGCTACTCAATGCTAATCAAGATGGCCAATTGCAACATTCATACTTGCCTCAAACAGTTCTTTCTCCCACCCGGGACATTCCACTTGCTCAGTTTCCAACAGACCTCACAACCTCTGAGATGCCTGCCATAGATGTGGGCAAAAGGTCAGGAGAGAATGCTTCTGGAACATGGCCATACAGCCTGGGAAACTCAAGTAACCAGATCAAAAGCTTCTTGAGCCAACAGTACAGCAAATGACCTTCAGCAATTACAGGAGCAGAGTCACGTTTTAAAAGTATAAAAGACTTGATTCAAAGAACTACATGACTAGATAAGAAAGTTAACACAGGGCCTATCTATCTATCTATCTATCTATCTATCTATCTATCTCTCTCTCTCTCTCTCTCTCTCTCTATCTTGCTGGAGACATCTTTTCTCTCTCCATGTTCACAGGAGAAAAACAAAAATGGAGAACTCAAGGGCTTGCCATGTGCTCAGAAAAAGAGGTGTGTCCCTGAATAATATCAGCGTCACCAGAAAGGTGATAGGAAGAGAGAATAGAGTGACAGGTAGACAGAGAGACCAATGAAGGAAGAGATTTTCCCTGCTAACTAACTCGTCTCCCTATTTAATTCCGTGGTGAGGACTACAAGCTTGTGCAGAATGTGGTTGAGTTCCAACACCCCTTGTATTGTGATAATGTGGGCGTCACATTGGTTTTACCCATTGCTGTGTTCAGCACTGATTTTCTGTCTAGTGGTAAGCTTCTACAAATAGTGAATGAAACCTTTATGGTCAAGGGACACTCAGTTGTGTTGTCTATCATTTTCCAAAGTCTTTGGAAGGTAGAATTTCACAGCAATGTTGTATTTTTTCTCACCCTTTATAGGCCAAGCCAAGCCGTCTGCATTGTTCCCACTGTGATGAGACCTACAGCCTTCCTCAGAATGGGACCATCAAGCTCTACAAGGAGTTGCGGTGCCCTCTGGATGATTTTGAGCTGGTGCTTTGGTCTTCGGGATCGAGAGGGAAGAGTTACCCACTGTGCCCTTACTGCTATAACCATCCCCCTTTCAGGGACATGAAGAAAGGTTAGGCTTCATAAGTGAAATCCATCCATCCATACACACAGTTGGCTCTCCATAATTCTGGGGTTGACCTTTGCGGATTTGATTAAAATATTATCTTTTGGCATCTCAAGGTCCTCTGGTGCGATTGACCTTTGAGTTAAGCTGTAAGTCTTAGCGATTCCTAGTGAGAACATCTCTCTAGGAATTTCTAGTTCTTACAGTGCACAGAAAGTGGATCACAGGGTCATGATGAAAAACCTAGAAATTCCTAGAGAGCTGTTTTCTTTTTCACTAGCTGCTTTGAGTCCCCTTTGGCAGAGAAAAGACAGCATATAAATATTAATATATTACCTAATATAAGTACTAATATAATACATTATTAAGAGTATAATATAATATTAATATAATATCAACCGAAATGTTGGCTGTTCAAATCCATGGAGCGGGTGAGCTCCCTTTGTTAGGTCCAGTTTCTGCCAACCTAGCTGCTCAAAAACATGCAAATGTGAGTAAATCAATAAATACCACTTCTGCGGGAAGGTAATGGCACTCCATGCGGTCATGCTGGCCACATGATCTTGGAGGTGTCTACGGACAATGCCAGATCTTCAGCTGAAGAATGGAGATGAGCACCACCCCCCGGAGTCGGACATGGCTAGACTTAATGTCAGGGGAAACCTTTACCTTTATAATAACAATATGAATACTAAATACTACAAATCATTTTATAACTTCCTGCAGGCTTGTCAATCAATGTTGACTTGTACATTTCAACCTGCAGGGTGAATTTTAATCTGTATTTTATCTGTGTATACTTGTTATATGTATTTTAATAGTAGGTTGCTGTGAGTTTTCTGGGCTATGTGGCCATGTTCCAGAAGCATTCTCTCCTGACGTTTCACCCACATCTGTGGCAGGCATCCTCAGAAGTTGTGAGGTTTGTTGGAAACTAGGCAAGTGAGGTTTATACATCTATGAAATGTCCAGGGTGGGAGAAAGAACTTCTGTCTGTTTGAGGCAAGTGTGAATGTTGCCATTGGCCATCTTGATTAGCATGGATTGGCCTTGTAGCTTCAAAACCTGGCTGCTTCCTGCCTAGGGGAATCCTTTGTTGGGAGGTGTTACCTGGCCCTGATCGTTTCCTGTCAGGAATTCCCCTGTTATTTTAGTGTTTTTCTTTATTTACTGTCCTGATACCAGTTTTTTTTTAATACTGGTAGCCAGATTTTGTTCATTCTCATGGTTTCCTCCTTTCTGTTGAAATTGTCCACATGCTTGTGGATTTCAATGGCTTCTCTGTGTAGTCTGACATAGTGGTTGTTAAGACAACACAGAAATGTTCCAGCATGTCTGTGTTGTCCAATAATATGCTGTGTCCAGGTGGGTTCATCAGGTGCTCTGCTATGGCTGATTTCTCTGGCTGAATTAGTCTGCAGTGCCTTTCATGGTCCTTGATTCACCTTTGGGCAAGTGCTGTGTTTGGTGATCCCTATGTAGACTTGTCCACAGCTGCATGGTATAAGGTAGACTCCTGCAGAGGTGAGAGGATCCCTCTCAACCTTTGCTGAATGGATCATTTGTTGGATTTTCTTGGTGGGCCTGTAGGTAGTTTGTAGGTTGTGTTTCTTCATCGGTTTCCCTGTGCGATCAGTGGTTCACTTGCTGTATGGTAAGAACACTTTTCTTTTGGGTGGATCTTTGTCTTGACTCTCGTGTTCTTGGTCTTTCAGCTCTTCTGATGTCTGTGATGGAGTCTCCATTGGCCTGTAGAGCCCAGTTTAGGTGGTTTGGTTCACCTTGGAGGAGGTGGGCTTCGCAGATTATTTTTGCACGGTCTGCCAGGACTTTTAATTGTGCTTTTTTACTTGGCTGATGGTTGAAGTTTTTATGTAGGTATCTATCAGTGTGTGTAGGTTTCCTGGAAACTATGTGGCCCAATTGTTGATTGGGTTTGCAGATGATGACTAGGACATCTAGAAATTGCAGTTTTCCCTCATTTCCTTTTTACATGGTGAATTGGTTGTTTAGGTGGATGCTGTTGAGGTGGTCTAGGAACTTGTTCAGTTCTTCTTCTCCATGGCTCAAAATGGTGAAGATGTTGTCCACATATCTGAACCATATAGTGGATTTTTTGTTGCTGTTTTTCAAAGAGTTCAATATAGAAATTTACTATGATCGGGCTGAAACGGCTCCCCATGGCTACTCTGTCTTTCTGTTCATAGAATTCATTGTCCTACTGGACGTAGCTTGTGGTGAGGCAATGGTGAAACAGGGCTGTGATGTCTTCTAGGAAATTCTGGTTGATTAGTATGATGGTGTCTGCCACCGGGACCTTGGTAAATAGAGACACCACGTCATGTTGTTGGTGTTGAGCTTGAGGTTGCTGATTTTTTTCTATGAAGTGGGCTGAATCCTTGATGTACATTCCATGGATATATAAACCACAGGATGTAGACCCTGGACATTCCACAGATATATAAATCTCACTTGCCTAGTTTCCAACAGACCTCACAACCTCTGAGGAGGCCTGCCATAGATGTGGGGAAAACGTCAGGGGAGTATGCTTCTAGAACATGGCCACACAGCCCAGAAAACTCACAGCAACCCAGTGGTTTCGGCCATGAAAGCCTTCAATAACATATTTTAATAGTGTTTTGCTTTATCTCGCTGTTTTAACCATATTGTACCCCACTTCGAGCCACAAGGAGAGGCATGTGATAAGTACATTAATAATAATAATAATAATAATAATAATAATAATAACAACAACAACAATACTAACAATACTTTTTGTGGGTATCCTGTGTCCCTAACGCCAGAAGTTGTAGAGGGCTGATGGTATAAGTTCCTTTTTGACACACATTTTCTGCAATTTTTAAGTAATAAAGAGCCATAGTTGTCATCCAGGATGCATTTGAAACCTGCTTTGAGCTTTAGGATTACTGCTGATGACATGATTTTCATTTCAAGTTACTCCTGTATGGTATATTGCATAGTTTGCATTTCTATGCAGACAGAAGCCAATGGAGCCTCCATGTTTCTGACTGGCAAATGAACAGGTCACTTCTGTCAGTACAAATTTCATTTAAAGGGATAAATTGGAATTCTGAGAATATAATGTACAGGAAAAATAATAAAATTGCTGGAGCCTTTGCAATAGTGAAATTGAGCTGTTGGTAAATGAAAACTCAGTTGAACCCAGCTGTCTATGAAGCAGTGTCTGTATTCCCTTGACTTGGCAGAAGGAGCCACTATTGTTCTGTTTTTCTCTGTCGCAAGAATCCTTGAACAACTCCCAATTGTTCCTGGATCCATACATTCCTTTTAATGGAATCCACATGGCTGTAAGTGAACATCAAAGTATATTCTCCAATGTAACTGTAAAATCTGAAAATATAGAGTGATTGTTTGCCAGCTCCAAGGAATTGTTCTGGAAACTTGTCATTTTTAAGAGGGAAGACGGAAATGCTCAGATTGTTGCTTTAGAGGTTATATACTTTTGTTTGCAGCCTGTTTACAGCCAAGTTGATTCTTCAAAGCGGAGTGTATGACATTGGGAACAATCAGGACTTGTTTCAGAATTTTATTTCGATAGTGAGTCTCTCCATGAAGCTTCCAGTGGTTTATCCATGGGATGAAATTAAATGTTCATGTAATGGATGTGAGTTCAAATACAGGTAAGAGGCAATTAAAATAAATAGATAATAATAGAATCTTAGAATCATAGAGTTAAAAAAGACCTCATGGGCCATCCAGTCCAACCTCCTGCCAAGAAGCAGGAAAATTGCATTCAAAGCATGTCCAACAGATGGCCATCCAGCCTTTGTTTAAAAGCTTCCAAAGAAGGAGCCTCCACCACACTCCGGGGCAGAGAAATAAAACATTCTTTGTTACTCACCTCAAAGCTTTAGGCAGGGTACAACACCATTCAAATACATAGATAAAAACAAGGCGATTAAAGCCCATCTATTAAAAGACAGACATAAGATTAAAACATGTGAAAATAATTTGTCCCTCAATGTCAAATGAAATTTTAAATTATAATAATTCCAACCATACTATGGGAAGAAAAATAATGGTTGTTTCTTATAATAAAGAATATTTCTTCCCACCCTGTTTTGAGTGTTTATAGCGATTTTAATGTTCTGTTTTAATATTTGTATGGCATGGATTTTAAAATGTATATATTTGAATCTTGATTTTAAAAATACTCATAATTAAAATTACATTTAATACTAAGTATCTTCCCCAACTTATTTTGTGTAAGGACTCTCAAGAATAATAATAATAATAATAATAATAATAATAATAATAATAATAATAATAATTCCTACACAGTGAGAGATAGGGCTTGCCTCCTTCCCCAGGATCTAGGTTAGGGGTATCAAACCCATTTTCATTGAGGTCCACATCAGCCTTATGGTTGACCTCAAAGGGCCATTGACTACATGGAGGGAGAATCCCTGGTTACAGACAGCCAGCTATCGTATACCTTTTTTTACATTGGGTCAATACTTTTTAGTTTTTGCTCAGTTTGGGTCCCCAGATATTATTGAATAACAACTCCCATCCCTTTTGATTATCTCCCATGGGGACTGGGGATTATGGGAATGGCAGCCCAACAGCCCTTGTGGCTTGGAGGTTGGGGAAATGTTAAAGGACATTTTAAAGCCAGACATCATATCAATAAGCCTTGTGTCAACATTCAAACCCCATTGTTCTGACTAAACAGAATAGTCAGCCTTCCAGGTGTTCCTGTATTCCAACTCCCATCAACTCTAATCATGACATCTGATGAGGAATACATGAAACGACCGAGTTTGACACATGTGATCTAGGGGCAATTAACATTTTATTGTTTCCTGATGATGCCTTTCATGTTCTTCACATCCATTACTAACACATAGCCTCATTTGTCCCTTCAGCAACATGGCTTGTGGTCCCTGTGGTCACAACAATGCTGCTTACACTTTGACCAACCCTATTTCTCTCTCTTATTTCTCCAGGAATGGGTTGCAATGAGTGCACCCACCCCACGTGCCAGCACTCGCTCAACATGCTGGGCATCGGGCAGTGCGTGGAGTGTGAGAATGGGGTGCTGGTGCTGGACCCCATCTCGGGCCCCAAGTGGAAGATGGCCTGCAACAAATGCAATGTGGTGGTGCACTTCTTTGAGAACGCCCACAAGGTCCGGGTGTCGGCTGAGACCTGCGAGGGGTGTGACGCGGCCCTGGTGGACGTGGATTTCAACAAGGCCAAATCGCCCCTCCCTGGCGGCGAGACCCAGCATTCCGGCTGCGTCTTCTGCGACCCCGTTTTCCAGGACCTGGTGGAACTGAAGCATGCCGCCATGAAGCACCCTATGCACCGCGGGGGACAGGGCAAGAGGCAGGGGCGGGGGCGGGGAAAAGGACGGCGGCCTGGAGGCAGGCCCAACCCCAGGAAACCTAAAGACAAAATGGCTGCCCTGGCAGCGTACTTTGTGTAAGGACTCCCCCTCCCTGTAGACACTATTAAAGAACTATCAAAGAATTAAATTTCATCTAACATCTATTTCTGTGAATCCAGCCAGTCTTTGTGCAATCAAAGCGAAGAAGAGTCCAAGGGCTGGACTTTTCATTGGGGGGGGGGGGGGGGGGGGAGGGAAAGGTGACTTAGGGTGCATATGCAGTTTGGAATTAATGCATTTTGACCCCACTTGAACTTAAATGGGATCATGGGACATGGAATTTGATCAGGTACCAGCCCTCTTTTGCAGGAAAAGCTAAAGAACTTGTAAAACTACAGCCCTGAGGATCTGATAGCCTTTGAGCCATGGCAGCTTACGTAGCATCAGACTTCATCTATTTCTTTCTTTGGCTGCATTTCCTCTTGCTTTGATGGAACCAATGTGCTCCGGATACCATTAAGATCTCATTGACATCAGAGTGGTTTATTCAAGCAGCCTCGTTGAATAGTATGTTGTATCTTGTAAAATGCACGTTTTTATTTATGTTGTATGCCCTTTTTTTTCTTTATCTGGGACCCAAGGTGGCATATATACAAAACAAATCTTGTTATATTTGAGTCTCTTAGCCACTTTGGTTCTTTTCATAGAGAGATAAAGTGGGATAGAAAAAAATATAATAACAATACTAGTAATAATAGTAGTAATAATTATTATGTAACAGCATCCAGACTCATTTACACTCCTTTTTGGCCTTAATTTGAAACGTCTGACTTTCCAAATAACCTTCCTGATCTAAACTGGCTAAATCAAGGTTTGCTTTTTAGATTTAAAAAAACTTTTATTTCATTGCATAATAGTTGCCACTGAGTAATAGTCTCACCTCCATTTTTTGGGTAGCAAAATTGGTATTTTTGTGTTCCTCGCATAATAGTTGCAGAGCCATTTGGGGCTGATTTTCTCCTTCCTTCCATCCTCCCTTTTTTTCCTCCAAAGGCAAGGCAGTTTAAAAACAATGAAATGGAGGTCTCTGGAACTCCACTCTCCCTTCATTCCTCCAAAATGCTCCATTTCAGATTTTGTAAACTGCCTCATTTTTGAAGGAAAGAAGAAAGGGAAAAAAATCATTCCTTCTTGGCAAGGCAGTTTAAAAAACAAACATACAGAAATTGAGCTGTTTGAGACTGGATCCTCCCTCCTCCTCTCTCAGAGGTAAAACAGTTTATTTCTTTATTTTATTTTTTAAAAACCCAGAAAACGGAAACTCAAAGGCAGTTGTTGTTTGTTGTTGTTCATTCGTTCAGTCGTCTCCGACTCTTCGTGACCTCATGGACCAGCCCACACCAGAGCTCCCTGTCGGCCGTTACCACCCCCAGCTCCCTCAAGGTCAGTCCAGTCAAAGGCAGACCGTGTAATAATTGCACCCTTTTTTTCAATCCAAAAAAAAAAGGGTTAACTGCGACTGTTGTGTGATGAAATATGGGTTTTTCAAGCATTGTTGAAAGCAGTAGATATTGAAATGACAGCATTAGAAATGACAAATGGCCAAATCCTCTTTCAAGGCAGCACCGTCGCCCACAGGCTCTGCCATGTTATCTTGCCAGGGGCCGATGGTCTAAGGTACTGGAAGACCCAAGATTTGAATCCTTGCTCCTTTGCCTTGAAAACCTATTGGGTGCCATAGTGTTCTCCTTAGGCCTTCCAGAGGATTGGGACTTCAGCTCCCAGAATCCCTGCTCCTTGCCCAAAGTAGCTGAGGCTTCTGGGAGTTGGAGTCCCAAAAAACTGAGCAGAATTAATGCTGTCTGACCTTACTCAAATCACCATGGCTCCATGCTATGGGTTCCTGGGAGCTGTAGTTTTGACAAGGTCATCCCCCCACCCCACCACCACCACCACCAAAGAGGGCTGGGGGCCTCACCAAACTCATGGGAACCGATGCAGCACTGAGCCATGGCAGTTGCGTTCATCTGACTGTTTGGCGAGGTGCTACGCTTTGGGGCAGAGGAAGCAAAGGGCCTTGTCAAACAACAATTCCCAAAGTCCCAGTGCGTGGTGCTGTGGCAGTTGAAATGGAGCCAAATTGGGTGATGCCTGTCAAAAAGGAAGAGGCTTGTTTCCCTCTGCTGCTCTGGAGACTAGGCCCCAATGGAGCCATGGGCTCAAATGCCAGGGAAGGAGATTCAATTTATTTATTTTATTGTGACAGAAGTGAATTGAGAATACAGTTATAATGTATAAAAAACCACAAAGTGAAAAACATTATACTAAATTTCCTTTGGCTAGAACAGTGGTTCTCAACCTGGGGTCCCCAGATGTTTTTGGCCTTCAACTCCCAGAAATCCTAACAGCTGGTAAACTGGCTGGGATTTCTGGGAGTTGTAGGCCAAAACACCTGGGGACCCACAGGTTGAGAACCACTGGGCTAGAAGCTGGCCACTTCAAATGCTTCTGGCGTCCCTGGAACTCAGAAAATCCCCCAGTATCTGCTTTGAACTGGGTTATCTTGCGTCCATGCTGCCATATATTCCAGTTCAAAGCAGACAGTGTGGGATTTTATTCAGCTGTGTGGAAGGGGCCTGGGTGGCTGTCTGTCAGGGGTGCTATGATTGTGCCTGCTAGAATGGGATGGCACTGGATGGCATTTGGGGTCTTGTCCTATTCCAATTTCTATGGAATTAGCAGAGACAGACATAGGCCCCTTCCATGCAGCTGAGTAAAATCTCACATTATCTGCTTTGAACTGGATTATATGACAATGTGGATTCGGGACAGGCCATATATCCCAGAATCTGATTCAAGTTTTCTGTTTATCCCAGATTATCTGGCAGTGGGGACTCGTATAATCCAGTTTAAAACAGAAAACCTGAGATCAGACCCCAGAATATAGGGACTGTTTGGAAGCACGCTCAGATAAGCCCATTCAAAGTAGATACTGTGGGATTTTCTGTCTTGATCTTCTGGGGGCCCTTCCACACAGCCATATAACCCAAAATATCAAGGCAGATATCTACTTTGAATGGGCTTATCTGAGTCCACACTGCTATATAATTCAGTTCAAAGTGAATTTTATACAGCTGTGTGAAATCCAGACAAGTCAGAGGTCCTCATGGTCAGTCGCAAGGTCCAACGGGTGGCAGCCAGGTTGCTCTCTGGAGCGATGTACAGGGAGCATGCAACCCCCCTGTTATGTCAGCTCCACTGGCTGCCAGTCTGCTACCAAGCGTAAAAAGTGCTGGCTTTAGCCTATAAAGCACTAAACTGTTCTTTCCTAGTTTACCTGTCCGATCGTATCTCCCGTATGAACCTCGTTGTAGATTAAGACGTTCTGGGGAGGCCCTGCTCTCGTCCCACCTTCTTCACAAGCACGACTAGTCAGGAGAAGAGACAGAGCCTTCTCAGTGGTGACCCCTCGGCTATGGAACTTCCTCCCTAGTAACATTAGATCAGGCCCCTCCCTCCTAGCCTTCAGAAGGAGAGGAAAAACCTGGCTCTGGGACTAGGCCTTTTGAAAAGCAGTGCAACAATATAATGTAATTGGAATATGTGCAATGACTACAGAATGGCCTCAGACTACGATTTTTGGAGGGTGTGATTTTAATATTGAATGTAATTTTAAAATTTTGATATGTATTAATTTTAATTCAATGTATTATAAGTTTAATGTTGTATGTGTTTAAGGCGTTGAATATGTAAGCCGCCTTGAGTCTTCCTTGGGGTAGAGAAAGGCGGAGTATAAATAGGGTCAATCAATCAATCAATCAATATGGCTGTGTGGAAGGGCCCAGAGATAAACTCCCTCTGCAGGAGAGCTTCGCCTCAGGGTGGACTGAACCATTGGGACAGGGCAGGGGGGATTTTTCGTCCTCAGGGGCGAAAGGGGCGTGGTCAACGGAAATCCCCCCTCCTCGCTGGCAATGGTTTCGCCCTCCCTCTGTCTCTCGCTTCAGGCGGCCTTTCTTTCCCGCGCTTTTTCATTCGGACAGGAAGCGGCGCTGCTGCCTTGGCCTCTTCGCCGGCCTCTAGGGGCGGAGGAGGAGGAGGAGGAGAAGAAGAAGGAGGCGGCGGTGGCAGGAGCCGGGCCATGGCCACCTCCGAGGCGGCGCGGGCCTGCTTGGCCTCATTCCTGAGGGACTTCCCGAGACCGCTGGGCCCCGACGAGGCCTTGCCCTGGAGGCCCCCGGGACGAGGAGGCGCTGCCCTCCGCCAGGCTGAAGCCCCCGCCGAGCTGGCGGAGTCGGGCAGGGCCTTCCTGGGCAGCAGGTAGGCGCGCGGGCGGCTCTGGGAAGACGCGTGTCGTCGGGGCACGTGTGAAACAGGAGGGGGCAGCTCCTGGACGCGGGTCAGGAGAGGGGGCGCCCATTATTATTATTATTATTATTATTATTTCTATATTTATACCCCGCTTTACTCCCCCCGAAGGGGACTCAAAGCGGCTTAACGTCAAAACGTAAGCACAGCATTTCAAATATACAAATATTAAAACAGAATTAACTATAAACAATTTTAAAAGGTTCGCAGTTAAAACCATGCAAACATATTGGATGCAGATTCAAAGCTAAGATGTAATTAGAGCCCGAATGTGTTTTTTTTAACAGTATTAAAAGGTGATTCAAGATCGGGAAAGGAGTATGGCAGGGCTGTATACTCTCACCCTACCTATTCAACTTGTGTGCAGAACACATGCAACGTGTGGGGCTTGACGAATCCAAGGCTGGAGCTAAAAATGCTGGAAGAAATATTCACAACCTTAGATATGCAGATGATACCACTTTGAAAGCAAGGAGGAACTGAGGAGCCTTCTAACCAAGGTGAAAGAAGAAAGTGCAAAAGCTGGGTTGCAGTTAAACATCAAAAAAATCAAGATTATGGCAACAAGACTGATTGATAACTGGCAAATAGAGGGAGAAAACACAGAGGCAGTGACAGATTTTCCTAGATCAGTGGTTCTCAACCTTCCTAATGGCGTGACCCCTTAATACAGTCCCCCATGTTGTGGTGACCCCCAACCATAATATTGTTTTCATTGCTACTTCATAACAGTCATTTTACTACTGTTATAAATCATAATGTAAATATCTGATATGCAGGATGCATTTTCATTCACTGGACCAAACTGGGCACAAATACCCAATACACCCAAATGTGAATGCTAGTGGGGTTGGGGGAGGATTGATTTTGTAATTTGGGAGTTGTAGTTGCTAGGATTTATAGTTCACTTATAATCAAAGAGCATTCCGAACTCCACCAGCGATGGATTTGAACCAAACTTGGCTCCCATGACCAATGGAAAACATTGGAAGGGTTTGATGGGCATTGACCTTGAGTTTGGGAGTTGTAGTTCACCTATATCCAGAGAGCACTGTGGACTCATGCAATGGTGGATCTGGACCAAACTTGGCATGAATACTCAATATGCCCAAATGTGAACACTGGTGGAGTCCGGGGAAAATAGATCTTGACATTTGGGAGTTGTAGTTGCTGGGATTTATAGTTCATTACAATCAAAGAACATTCTGAACTCCACCAACCATAGAATTGGCTCAAACTTCCCACATGGAATCCCCATGACCATCAGAAAATACTGTGTTTTCTTATGGTCTTTGGCGACCCCTCTGACACCCCCTCGCGACCCCCTCAGGGGTCCTGACCCCCAGGTTGAGAAACACTGTCCTAGATGCAAAGATTACTGCAGATGCAGACAGGAAATCAGAAGATGTTTACGTCTTAGGAGGGAGCAGTGACCAATCTCGATAAAATCGTGAAGAGTAGAGACATCACACTAGCAACGAAGATCTGCATAGTCAAAGCAATGGTATTCCCTGTAGTCACCTACAGATGTGAGAGCTGGACCATAGGGAAGGCTGAGCGAAGGAAGAGAGATGCTTTTGAACTGTGGTGTTGGAAGAAAGTTCTGAGAGTGCCTTGGACCACGAGAAGATCCAACCAGTCCATACTTCAGGAAATAAAGCCCGACTGCTCATTGGAGGGAAGGATATTAGAGGCAAAGATGAAGTCCTTTGGTCACATAATGAGAAGAAAGGAAAGCTTAGAGAAGACAATGATGCTGGGGAAAATGGAAGGAAAAAGGAAGAGGGGACGACCAAGGGCAAGATGGATGGATGGCATCCTTGAAGGGTCTGGCTTGACCTTGAAGGAGCTGGGGCTGGCCACTGCCGACAGGGAGCTCTGGCATGGACTGGTCCATGAGGTCCTCATCTACACTGCTGTAGAAATGCGGTTTGAAACTACATTCTATGGTCAGGGAAGATTAAGGCTCAGCATCTATACTTCTGCATAATCCGTTTTCTGAATCCAGATGATCTGGTTTGAACTGAATTATAGGGCAGTGTAGACTCATGTGATACAGTTCAAAGCAGATCACCCAGATTAAAAAATTGGATTATTATTATTATTAACTTTATTTATACTCTGCCTTTCTCCCTGTGGGTGGGGACTGACTCAAGGTGGCTACCAATTCCACACTTTAGTCATAGTTTTAAAAATGCAATACAAAAATAAATAAAAAACAAATAGTAACTGTGGTAAAAACAGATTAAAAATACAATAAATACAATTAAAATAGGCTTTGTGGCAGTGTAGATGCAGCCGCAAATAATTCAGTTCAACTACATTATATGTGAGTCCACACTGCATTACAGTTAGTAACAGGAGCCCCCGGTGGCGCAGTGGGTTAAACTCCTGTGCCGGCAGGTCGCAGGTTCGAATCCGGGGAGGGATGGATGAGCTCCCTCTATCAGCTCCAGCTCCTCATGCGGGGACATGAGAGAAGCCTCCCACAAGGATGATAAAAACATCAAATCATCTGGGCGTCCCCTGGGCAATTCCCTCACACCAGAAGCAACTTGCAGTTTCTCAAGTCGCTCCTGACATGAAAAAAAAAAAGTAACACAATTTTTGTTCAATGGTTATAAATGTAATTTCCAACTTGGTTCTATCATAAAAACATGGAAAAAGTGTATTAACCTGCCAAAACTTTGTTTTTGTGGGACATCCTGCAGCACATTTCACTCTTGTTTTTCAATATTTCAACCAATTCAACCTAGTTTGTGGCAGCCACAAAACAAAGTTTCTAAAGGATAACAAGTACTTTCAAAGTAAGGACAACACAATTAAACAGGAAATAACACTTTCAAACCAGGAACAGAACATTTTAAAATGTTCATTACATAGTGGAAGTTCATCATATCAGTCCACACTACATTATATGGTCAGGTAGGCTCCTATAATGCAGTTCAGTCTGCTTGTATCAGTCTACATAATTGGCTACATACTGTAGAGTCAAACCTCATTACATGGCAGTGTAGATGAGTCCCTCGATATACACTGTAGACTTAGTCCAGTTTGGCACCACATGAACTGCCCTGGCTCAGTGCTCTGGAGATCTGGGAGTTGTCGTTTTACAAGGTCTTTAGCCTTCTCTGCCAAAGAATGCTAGGGCCTCACCAAACTATAACTCCCAGGATCCTGTGTATGACTTCTACAGTGTAGAATGCAGGCCCCATGTACACTGCCATATGATACATTTTGAAACAGACTCCGATAAAGGCATTGAACCATATTCTACAGTTCAGTAACCGCGTCGTGCCAATTCAAACTGCATTATGTGGCCATGTCAATGGCAAAGCAACTCCGTCCCAGGATTTTTCTTGGTGAAGGGCTGTGGGATTTTTTGTCAGTGAAGTTTGAAATAGATTTTCATATTTGTATGTTCCACAACACAAAAATATTTGATTGTGGTTTTCATCTTATTATTTTAAATCATGCCTGTTTTCATCGTCTCATGTAATTTTTTGCTGTTAGCTGCCATGAGTTTTTTTTTTGAATTTTTTATTAGTTTTTTTTAACCACAAAAGAAATGCTATATACATAAAAAGAGGTGGAACAATATAGTGAAAGAAAAGTAGGAAATAAAGATGTATAAGTCTTAACAAAAACTACTTCATTCTTTTCTTTAAGCCAGATTCTTTACAGCGATTCAACTTGTTCTCCTCTTTTTTTTCTAAACATCTAATAATTTTATTACCTTTATATTCCCTTCATTACAAAAACAATCTCTATAATTCACATAATTACTTTTTTTCCTTTCCCCAGTTGTGCTACCCCTTGTGCTCCCCATCTCCAGAGTTCTTCTTTTCTTTATACTCCCACCAGAACCTCAATTCTTCTGGTGGGGGTTGGTTCCCATCTTCTTTCCTTAATGTTTCCTCAATAAATATTTTCCATATATTTTCAAAATCATTATCCTTCCTTAGGCCTTTTTTAACCTTTAAATTGCATGTTAATTTGTTATTTATTGCTAATTTCCAAATTTCCTTGTACCATTCTTCTATCTTAATTTTGACCTCTCCTTTCCAATATTTTGCTATTAGTAGCCTTGCAGCCGTTAACAACATTGTTATCAGATTCTTTTCA